TCTGGGTGATGCAAGCTTGATGAGTCATTGTATTAAAGAACAGTCACTGCTGTGTGTCACAATGGCTTAAAGACTGATAATCCCAAGTGTTGGTGAGTTTGTATACCAACTAGAAGTATCATGTGCTGTTGGTAGAAATGTGTAATGGTATAATCACTTTGGGAAACTGAAAATTTCTAATGAATTTCACATATACTGTGCATTTCCACTCCTAGGTATAGACCCCTGAGAAGCTAGTGCATGGTAGCTTTACTGATAATAAAAACTATTAAAAAAACAAATATTCATAAAAGCAGAATAGTAAGCAATGGTGATCTATTCATTCAATGGAATGCTGAGCAGAAAGTGGAAAACATTTTCCTGGTACTTGCAAGAATGTGCAGGAATCCTCAAAACAACACATTGAGTAAAAGGAAGTTAAACTAGAAGAATAACTCTTGTGGATTCCATTTATGTAAATGTCTAGAAGTCAGAATGGTGTACTGGGAGATGGAGCAGACACTGCTATCTAAAAAGGGCACGAGAGAATTTTCTGGAATAATGGAAATTTTCTATATCTTGTTCTGGGTGGTGGTCACATGGGTGTGTACATATGTAAGAAATGTCACTGATCTGTATATTTAAATTTGTGTATGTTATTACATGTACATTATTTCTCAAAAAATATTCTTACCAAAAAATGTATCTAGCTATCTATGTTAATTGAAAATCACTATACACACAAAATTTTATGTCTTATATAAGAACAACTGAGAAGGTAAAAATTTAAAAAGCAATTCATAATGCAAAACTATTAAAGACTAACAATAAATTTATTAAGAAATGTGCAAGAATTTCTAAGAAGAAAATTATTAAATATTCAGATTAATGAATATTTATATAATTGGAAATACATTCTATTTCACGAAGTAGAAGGCTGAACACTGTAAAACTCGTCAATTCTCCTTAAATTGATTTAGGGGTTTAGTGTGATCCCTATAAATAACAATGAAAATAACAATAGATTTTTTTAAGGAAATCAACATGATGGTTTCTCCCTCTCTTTTCCTACCTCCCTCCCTCCCTGCCTTCCTTCTTCTGTGGGTCAGTCCATACAGTAGCTTAAATGAAACACATGCTTTGCAGTGTGATGCTTCCTCAAAATGGACTTAGGTGATCTAAATGGGATATTTTCAACATTACTGCTGTAATACAATTTAAGTAACAACGCAAAACAAATAAAACAAGACCCACAATCGGTACAGTCAAAGGTTAACTGGAAGATGAACATATACCATAAATAGGTTCTTTAAACATTCAGTGTAGTATGTGGAAGGAAAAGAGACAGCAAACATTTTGTCATCTTTTTATATTTTGATAATACTGAATGCCATGGTCATGACCAGTGTTGGGAAGATAAGAAAGCATGTGAAGCATGGCGGGGTGTGAGTTTTGATTTGTGGCTTTTGGGATTGCCTTTTGGCATGCTGCATTTTGGTATAAGCTACGTCTGAACTGTTTCCTGAGATTTGCAGTGTTTCCCCACCCACCTCTCTGTCTACCAGCAACCTTAATACCTGGAATGTAGCTGTTGTGTACTTTAAACCTTAAAGCCTGGGTTGTACAACCGGCTTTTCTTTTGTGAGGCCAGGAAAAGTACCCTTAGGTAGAACTTAGCGTTATGGAAAGTTTATATTCATTATGACAGTACAGGACTATAGAAGGGAACAAAGGATTTGGGAATAGAGTAGCATTTGAGCAACAAATACTTTGGGCTTTTGCTTAAGAAAAATAACGATGAGGTATCTTAATCACCCATTTACTTTAAACACTTATTTAGCACCTACTACTGCTTATCACATATGTTCCTGGGATGGAAAAATCTGTGTTTCTGCCCTCCAGATGCTGAAAATGGATGGGTTGATTAACAGCTGTTTTTGGTTTAGTGTGATAGCATTAAGTCCTTTAGGAGCCAGGAGGAGGTAGGGGGAAGAAACCTACTGAAGCATGTTTTGGTGGTAAAAAGTTAGATGTATATAAATAATCTCCAAATCAAAGAGACTATACAAAGTCATAGCGTTCTTTCATTCACCATCTTTTAGTGCCATAATTTTACCATGTGGTATGGTTAGGGAATATTATAGTAAACCTATTGTTTTTAAGAATCAGTGTCTGATGCTATCTACCCAATAAGTGAATTGAGAGTTACATGAATATTTACTTTTTTATATATGACATCCCAGGTATAAATATGACTTAGGAAACAGATAGTCATTATATCTTAGGTGACTTTGAGGAGCAATAAGCATGTACGTCTTGAGCCCTGATCAAATTATTAGAGTGTGTACCTAATTTGGACTCTGTAAAGAAAGGTATATAGGAATGCTGGGGAGATGGTGTCTTCCCCTTCCAACTTCCTCTGTGGGGTAGTAACACGAACAGTGCATGCAAGCTGCTTGGTACTAGAAAGTACATTTGAGGCCATGCATTCTCCCAAGTCCTGTGGAGGAGAGTAGGCAAGGGCACTAAAACATTTTCATTGCCTCATTACATTAAGGTAACATTTACATTCCATCATTTGTATGTACACGTACAAATGAAGAGATGCATTGTTTTAGTGGGAGAGGGGCAGAAGAGGAGGTTGAAGGAATTACTGTCTGGAAACATTAGAAAAAACAGACTTCATGAGTTTAGGTAACCTTAACCAGATCTGGATGAGAATATTACTACCTCAGCGCAGTCTAGATGGAGATTTGGGATGGGTCGGTGACACCTGCAGGACATGAGACCTCGTTTTACTCAGTCTGGTCTTCAGGCTGCACCTCTCTTTGTTATTACTTCATGTGGCATATATGGATTTTAATTTTTGCAGATTGGGTGTATTTTGTGGAAATTAAGTGTTCTCAGGTTTTGTATAATGTCTGTGTGACCCAAGGCCTAATCACTTTGGTAAATGTGATCTGGCCTGTTGGCATTATTAAGAAGGGTTTGTTTCTTATTAGTATTTTATTATAACTGGTAGTTCAAAATGTATAATGATTGAGGTTCAGCCACCAGGAGATTCAGGATTGATTATAATTCTTCTAGACTTTTGATAAGTTTATACTTTAAGAATAAACTCTCGAGTCCTTTATTAAGTGGTTGTTGTACAAGCCAACTAGTATGTATACAAATTGTTAGATGCCTCTTCTCTCTCCCATATGTGACCACTGCTGCTAATTCTCTCTTGTTTATGGTGTCACTGCTAGTTTTCCCAGAACTCACTCCTTGTTTTAGGTTACTCATCTCTAATTACCAGGATGGCAATAAGGCTTCTTTATACTTCTTAATATAGATATGCATTACAAAGGGAATAAAAATTTCAAAAGAAAACACTCCCATTTATAAAAGTCAATAAAAACTAAACATACTGTTTTATATGCAGCAGTCTTTTGTGTTGTATTTATCTTTTTTGTACTATGCATTAACTTTCTCTTTTGAGTATAAATTAGTTGCCTCATACAAATTCAGTTTGTTCCAGTTCATCATTATTATTACTGTGTTATATTATGCCAAACTGGACAGCCTTGGACAATAGGAAGTCTCCATTGGCTCTTTGACTTCTTAGGTCCCCCTCATGTACTTGAAAGCTTGTTCCTGGTAACAATGGGATGTTCTGTATAAATTTTGGTTTTCTTCTGCCCCAATAAACCTAATTAAATACCTTCCAAGGAGTTATGGTGTTTTTTAGTGGTAAATAGTTGAGGGAAAAGCCTCCAGTGGCTGAGGTTGCATTTGAGAGTTGATATTATGCAAAGCCTATTGGTGGTGTTTGATCACTCTTAATAGTGACAGAGATGTAAACTATTTATTTTTCAATATGTGAGTTTACTTTGATCTTCACATTTTAACATGTTGTTACCTGCTTTTAAAAATTTATTTCCGAAGAAAGACTTTCTCCTATATTCACACATTATTTTGAGTAATAACTTGGAATCTTACTGCATTGTATCCAATGTCATGTTGTAAATAATGCTGCTGGAGGTAAAAGAATCATTTACTTTTCTCCATATTTAAGGAATATGGTATATTATTTTGACATTAATCTGGTAGGGTAAAATCTTTAGGATAAAGATGGTGAACCCCCAAAGTTGGAAAACTTCATTTTTGCTGAGGTTTTTGTAATTAACAAAATGTGATTAAGACACCTAAATTTTTTTTTTTTTTTTGCTTATTTAGAATAGTAAGTAACACATGCATTGAGCAGGAAATATTCTTTGTCAGTTCAGAGGTGGGAATTAGGGCTCTGCAGCATGTTGTTGCAAGAAAACATCATTAAGCAGAGTAGCGTTGCTTTTGCCATGTTTAGATGTATTTAAGATATTCTCTAAGTGAGTTTATTTTGAAGAGGTTACTCTTTTATTATTCTGATACATCGATATTATTTCTCTAAGTTTTTCCTTTGGCAAACTTTTGGGTAAAGAAACAAATACATAAGAATTCTCTTCCTCTGTTTAGCTGTCATAGAGTCAGAGGTCTCTAGAATTGACAGGAACCCTAGAATTACCTTAACTTTATAGAAAAGCAAATTAATGATCAGAGTCATAGAAATGCATTTTGTTCTGTTTTTAGTATTTTCTTGATGATTAATCATTTAAAAACTAGTCATTTTGTTATATTGTTAATATGCACTTTAATACAGTGATTTCTCAGAATACTTATCTAGGTGCTGTATTCCTGGTACTAAGCCTTTAATTTATTGAAATGTAATTTAACATATTTTCTATTACAAACATTGTCTTTACATTTGAATTGCCTTTTTCTTAGGGAAAAAAAAATGCTGCATGCCTCTGGATCCTTTGGCATTACCACTGCTATATTTTTAAAGAAAACTAATCTCTACTGAGTAAAGATAGCTCTAAGTATTACTTCCCCAAATATATTATCTAAAGCTTAAGTTATTAAAATGCTTAGTTTATGCTATTTTCTACTGTACAACACTAAATTATTAGGGTTTTTTTTTTTTATTTTCTCCTCTTAAGAGTTCTCGAAGCCAGCATAGCAGAAAACAAAGCATGTTTAAAGAAGACACCTACAGAAGTTTGGAGGGATTCTCGAAACCCTTATGACAGGAAAAGACAAGACAAAGCTCCTGTTGGACTAAAGAATGTTGGCAATACTTGCTGGTTTAGTGCAGTCATTCAGGTAAGGATCTTCATGCAGATCTTATTTGGTGGGCATATTAGCAATTGATGGGAAAGTGAGTTGGGCTTGTGTTTCTCTTCAGTTGTATACTGAGCACTTAACTGCATGAGGTTTCAGAATGCTCTCTAACAAATTAGTTTAGAGATTGTAGCATTCCTCATCCTTCTTTGTTCCTCACTCCTGGGATGGAGTTTGAACATAGGTCATAGAGTATGACCTATGCCTTATTTGGTATTATTTGGAATTAATTTCTTCTCCCTCCCTGCTGTTAGGAATTGGTATCAGGGTGTAAAGAAAACATTTCTGTATGAATTTCCTTGCAAACTTAGGGAAGGACGTAATCAAGATTTGAAACCAGACAGATGAGACTTATTTGTATATAATAGAAAATGTTGTTCATTGAATTTCATCCTTTACATATTATTTTTAATATAAGGGAGGCATTTTATTTGAGGAGGGTACAGATTAATAACACATTTTCCCCCTAACTTGTAAAGCCCTTAATGAAATGTTTCCTGAGACCCTTATTCTAAAATGAAAAATGTTTGTATGCATAGATATCCATATTCTTCTTAATTTTGACTAGTTTTTCTTTTTATTTTTTAGCTTTTAAGTGATATGACTGTTACCAAATTCTTTACCATTCTCAGACATTGATAACCTTAACCATCAGGTTGTAAAACCTTAAAGAATCTCCGTAAATGAAATAATATATGGATAATAACATTCTCTTAATTTTTTACCCTTTAAGAAAATATTTTGTGTTTACTTTCCTAATGAGGTAGAATTCAGTTTATTAATGTTCCTAATGATTACTTTTTAAATCATTGGATGTGTATGTCATTGCTTTTTAATAGTAAAAGTATCTCTTCATTTTGTAGCTTTCCAAACCGATAAAATGACTGCATAAACTTGCATACTATGTTAAAGCAACTAACTGGTTTTTACATTTTCTACAAAATTGCTAATTGTATTTTCTAGGCAATTAATAAGTACTTCAACTTTTTTCCTACTTCAGTAGTATAATTTTGAGCCCCCTCCCCTTTTACTTCTGACTCATAATGCCATACAATTTGATTTCCTTTGGTTTTCTGGATTTGCACCTCTTTAATATGTTCTGGTATACATTAGTTAATAACTAATATACCATTATTTATTTCCCAAGCCATTAAAATGTTAAGGAATACCTGGCATAATGTAAATCTGTAGTAATACTTTTGTTTCCAGCCTTGATTATGCATTGATTTAGCTACATGCCAACAGTATCTAAACTTTTATTTGCTATTTTAGTCTCTAAGACTGTATTGCTTTACTTTACTTTCACTATTAGTGAGGCTTTTGCACTTCATTGTCCAATCTAAATAATTCAGACATCATTTTAAAGTGGGAAGCACAGTTTTATGGCTGTGATCTGAGTGTTCATGAACATGCCTTGCTGCCTGTCTTTGGGCAAACAAACGCTGTTCCTACACTATTATGGCCAGTAAATGAGGTGCATTGATTAGAAGCTTCTCTTAGAAAACTGTAAGAAGAAAGAAAGCACTTGCAAGTATTCAATATTTGTTATTTAGAATAAGTTCTCTTTATTTCTCCATACCATATTGTAAGAAAGACCCATTTGAAATTATAGTTAAATTAATAATACATTTGAGGAGAATCACTGTTTGTTTTCATGGGATAAACTTCTCTTAATATCTTAATTTTCAAATTTGAAAGAATTGTTCATTTGATTTTACTTTGGTGTTTGCTGGTCTTAGCTTTTCCTTTCCATTTCAAATTTTTGGGGTTTTTTTTTTTTTTTTTGAAGGGAAATGGATTGGGAAAATTGCTTATCCTTTTGAACAGTTGAGGTAGTTTTAACTAATTTAAAATTTTATCTGCTGCTTAACTGGTAGCAGGGCTTTACAGCACTCCCAGGCAAGTGTGGGGCGCTTGGGGTTGGTTACTTCTTCTTTTGGAGAAACCTGCACACCTAGAGGTAACTTCTAACCTTGAAAAAGCTGAGTTATGATGAAGTATTAAGATACTGATTTTTGGAGGTATGGAAAAACATTAAGCTTTAAATTTTGGAAAATTATGGGTGGAAAAAATACTTTGTCTAAAGATCACTTCATTTTGTTTTTTACTGTAATTTTAAAGTCTATTCTGTTTTAAGTAGCTTTTCATATTCACCATACTCATAAATCAAGTAATTTCTGGTTGACTAAAATACAAACATCCTGGGGGTATTTAACACATCTTTAGGTAATTCTGTACCAGAATATAGTACAGTGTCTGACTCCTTGGAAGAGCCCATTATGTAATTACTGAATGAGTGAATGAATGAACCAAAAAAGGACCATATATAATTTATGGTAGAACTGAAGACTTAAGAAGCTTCTATCACCTTAATAATGTATGGGATTGAAAAGATGCTGCAAATTTTCCAAAAAAAAAAAAAAGGATATATTAACATGTTAATTCATATTACTTGCTTTTATTTCTTTCATTTTCCCCCAAAAAAAACCCCCCAAATATGTAGTTCAATGAGAAGACTAAGAATTTCATAGCAGTAAAAGGCTTATAGTGAAAAATAGCAATAATCTGTCCTAAACATGCCTGCCTAATAGTCCTGCAGCAACTACAATCAGTTCTAGCTGTTTCTCCTGTTATCTTCATTTTTATAAATGGCATGCCTTCCTGCTGAGATAGATAAGGATATAGCTCTCCCATTTCACCTAGAATTGCCTTCTGTTTCATTGACCAACATAGTTATAGCACAAGTTGAAAATAGTAGTCAGTGTTTACATTTTCTGTGGCTTTGTAAATATTACAATGATTTACTAGGACTACCCTTCTATAATCCTTTGTTTTCTTGGAGTTTACCACCATTTTTTCTATTTTTATATATTTATTCTTAAAATTTTCCAAATGCTCCCACATCTCTTATCAATAATATGGTCTTTATGCTCAAGTGTATCAGCTCAATTGTTTTAGTCTTTGACCACAGAAGATTTCTCTGCCTCAAAATCAGACTGGATTCTGATTCATTGTGCTTAAGCATGGTTGCTAGTTTTCCAAAGCAGGTCTAGAGAAAAGGAATTGGGGAAGGACAAGGGAGGGGTTTGTTTGCATGTTTTTACTTAGTATTCCTTTTTGTTAGCTCTGAATCTCATCCCTTTTTCTACCCTGGTGCGCACTGTGACTGATTTTTTAAACCTGAAACAGTAAGGTTCAGTGATATTCAAAGACTAAATCTCCCATATCCCAAAGAAGGAGGAAGTAGTTGTCTGGGATGGATATAGATATTTAATTGCTCTGTATGCAGACTTTTATCTTTTAATCCATCTGCTTTCCCTGCTTCACCTTGAAATTTATATGATACCATTCTATTTTTTAAATAATTCACCTAGGAGAATTTATCTTGCTTCTCCTTGGTATCCTCTACTATAGGCAGTTTATATATCCCTTTGCTCTCTTGTCATGAGTTCTTTTGCTTTCTACAAATTATTTGAACTTTCATCTCTCATAACTCTGTTATTTGCACGAATCTAGCCAAACTCCATTTTAACAAGTGCTCTTCAACAGTCATGTGTCAGTTTTGGACTGAATACATGGATACTTACTTCCAGTGTGCATCAGTCACAAACACAATTTAGACAGCAGTGACAATTACCCTCTCCCATCCCTTCTGAAGGAATGTGTTGACCAATACCACTATGACTGTGATTAAGGGTATAAAGAGTTTGGGACTTTAAAAAAATTAATGTCTATGTTGTGCTATATCTGTTGCACAACATGATGCAGAATATGTTGGTCACAAATTCTACTTTGGGTAATAGCTTGGTAAGTTGTTTTAGATCACCTACCTGGTCATGTTTTGCCAGAACCCAAAACAAAACAAAGCAAAAAATCAACTTTTTGGAGGCATCACATAATTCTAAAATGGAGGAGTTTTGAGGCCAAGTTCTGAACAAACAGGGTGTTCAGGGGATACACTTCATGTTATGGGCTGGTTTTTATCCTTGAGGCAATTCCCAAAGTGGCTGCTGAGTGGGAGGGAAGCTAAGCACAGTTTTGCACAGACTCGGAGCTCTAGTAAACGCCTTAGCTTTTCAGAATACTAAGGGATAGAAGAACCTTGGATTAATTGAGAATTAAAAATAATAAAAAATGATGAAAAAATTCACAGTTTTTGAATTCCAGCTTCATCTCAGAGCTGATTAGATTAAGTTGACCTGGGATATCAAATAGTCCCAGTCTTATTAGAAGATACTAAGAACTTTGCATTTTCTCCAGCTTCTCACACATACCGTCTTGGCACTCAAATCATACAGAGTCATGGCAAGGAAGTAAGATATGTCCAAAAATTAAGGGAAAATAATGGGCAGTAGAAATATACCTACAGAGACACATGAAAGTTGAATTGTTATAATAATTATTAATATGGTCAAGGATTTGAAAGCAAGATTGAGAATCTTGGTAGAAAACTATAAAAAGAAGAAAATAGGAATTTTAGGACTGAAAATTATAGTTAATAAGTTAAGAAAAGAGCACATTAGACACAACTGAAGAGAACGAGTCAGCTGGACAACTGGTCTGAAGAGTATTTTGAAACTAAAGCCATGAAGTACAGGTGAGAGAGTTTGGACATGTGAATAGTACAACGAATTCAGTGTATTTGTGGTTCTGTGGGGAGAGTAAAGAAGGAAAAGGGAAAAAACAGTATTTGAAGAGATAACAATATTGCAAACTTGATGAAAGAGATCAAGCCACAGATTTAGGAAACAATGGGAGTCAAGTAATATAAACGTGAAGACCTCTGCACCAAGGCACACCATAATAAAACAGGAAAAATGATAGAGACAAAAAGAAAAATCCTAAAAGGTGCCAGATGAAAAAGATATATCACCTATATAAGGAACAAAAGTAAGGCTTACAGCTGACTTCTCAAAAGAAATGCTATCTTTAAAGTGCTAGAAGAAATAACTGGCCATCTACAATTCTGTAACTAGCAAAAATCTTACCAAAATGAAGAGAAAATAATTTTCAGTCAAGCAGAAGCTGAAATAACTCATCACCAGCAGACCCACACCAGAGGAGATTCTAATGGGTGTTGAGGAAGAAGGAAAGTGTTCTCCAGAGCATAGAAGTAGGATTGAAACTCTTCTGATTTATCGGTATTCTTTTTCCTACTTAAATTCTTCCCAGGAACAGTCTATATTTTGTCTCCCTTACTTATATCCCATTTCTTCAGTACTCGTTGCTGCTCTTCCTCATGTACCATTCAACTGAAAACTGACATCCCAAATGCCCAATCCAAAGGTTATTTGCCTGCCCTTACCTTATTGGAATGTGGTAACCTTTGGAAGTATTATTAACCGTGTTCTCGAAATTTCTTTGATTCTTTGATGAGAATATTCTGTGGTACTTTATGTCTTTGTTGAAAGGCCTCCGGTGAAGGTATTTTTTTTTTAAGTTCTGCAGTTATTTTGACACTTAGCTATATTTGAAAGCCCTTGCTTTTTTCTACTCTGTTTTTTTTCTCTAATCTCATACTCTGCTTCCCTTACTGTTCTTATTTTGTCTTATAACTCTTTTTTCCTATAGCATTTAAATGCTTCTCTTTCCCTAAGGTTCTGATCTTGATCTGCCATTATTATATTCACATTATTTCTGATTTATAACATCTACTCATTGATTTAACCTGCCACCATAAGATTGTAATCTCCACAAGGGCAGAGAGTTGATACATTTTATTCTTTGCTGCCTGTCTTCCTTTGCATGTAGTGGGTGCTCCATAAACATTTGTTGAATGAATGAATAAATGAATTGTCTCATATGTTCATATTATTTAGTTAAGAACTATTTTTAGATCACAAGATAACCAAAATATTTTTCAACATTTTCTATTAGCAGACTTAGAGTTTTCCTTTCATATTTAGGTCTTTAATCTACATGTATATTTATATATACTTATAAATATTATAGTGGGCCACTTTTCTCAACAGCTAACTACCAAAAACCCCAACAACTTCTGTTTTTTTATTGATTTGGATCCCCTCTTTATCTTCTGTCAAGTTGGTTAACCCATCTTTACTTAGATTTAACACATTATCACTTCCTGCACAGTGACTTTCAAACTTTATAAACTGTGACTCACAAAAGGAATACATTTTGCATTGTAAAACACTTTACATATACATGTATGTAAAATATCTACAATGAAATTTATAAAAATACTCTGGTGAATTTTCTGTGTCTGATGTATTCTGATATTTTCCATTATATTTTATTTAATTTTTTATACAAGTGTTTACTATGATGACATTAATGAATTACAAGCTATAGCTTAAAATCAGCTTAGGAAACCTTTCCATGGGTACCTTTTATATGCTCTCATTATACACTCTGTGAACAATATTAGTATATCTCAGAGTCACATTTACATTATTATAATTATATATCTGTCTTCCTTCTAGGTTGTGTGTCTTCTTGAACATAGAGAGATAATATGTCATTTCTTTCTGTCTCCATTACCAGGAATATGGCCCATAAATTTATTTGTACTATATTTTTGTAGAATTGATACCTCTAGATGACTTATAGTAAACATAATACATTTAAAAAGTTCTAGACTTTGCATTTGTATACCTTTTATTTTGAGGAAACTGCATAGTAAGCACAGAATAACATAACGAAAGCTTTTAATATGTAGTATTTTTTTTTTGAGTTGTCCATGTATAATTTCTGTTTTGCAGTACAATATATTTGTTAATGATCAAGAATAGTATGTCCAATTATAAGTAATTTGACTTTTCTCAGAGGGAAAAATACAAGGTCTGGCAGAAGTAACTCCTGCTTGAGTGTGGTTGGTAGGGTATTACATGGGTGTAATAATTTATAGTTTTAATTTGAACATTTCACCTAAAATGTTATATGGTGTGCTTGAGTGTGATAATTATGTTACAGAATTACATGCTTACTCTTTTGTAATAAAAGATTTGGTAATAAAAAAGGGGCGTTATTTGTGCCTGACTCTGTAGTCCACCTTTCACCAACTGCAACAATTCTGTGATAAGGTGTAGAGTTTATAAAAAATAAATCTCTGAAATGCATCATATTTTTTACAGTTCTTCTAGCAGAATTTTTCCTTAAGTTCTTAAATTGTTGTTCTTTTTCAGTCATTATTCAATCTTTTGGAATTTAGAAGATTAGTTCTGAATTATAAGCCTCCATCAAATGCTCAAGATTTACCTCGAAATCAAAAGGTAAAATTAAACAGAGGGTCTTAATTTTTAATCTATGTTTTTCTTGGGGGCACTTGCCACTCATCAGATCTGAAACAGTGTCAAATTTGAATATCAACTCATTATTCTCAATTACTACTACAATAACTTTCTGTTCCTTGTCAGTGTCATACAAATATGAATTTTTCCTCACCTGTGTGCGCCAGTATTATGCCAGTTTTTTGTATGATTTTGGTACTTGCTTTTTTCTTTCTGGACCTTCAATTTTCAGTAAACTTAATAGGCTACAATTTACAGTTCAAGATTTTTCTTTGTTTCCCAAAAAATCCTGTTAAAATCAAAAGTTTTTACACTTGTTTTTCTGCAGACCAGCCCTTTAAAAACTCAGTGTTGCTCTGGCTGTCTTTGCAGTGCAAGTCTAGTTTGTGAGTTAATATTGTTGGGTAATGTGATGTGGCAGCACAGACGACAAGGCTCAGTTCTGCCTGTGGACCTAAAGCCAGACAAAGCACTTTACTTGATCTGTCTCTGCTCAGTGTCCTTGTCTGAAAAGTGAAATAATTATAGCAATTATTTTTATCGAGTTGCTGTGAGAATTAAATGAGATAAAACATGTAAAGGACTTAGAAGTGCCTGGTGCGTAGCAAGTACCAAGTATCAACTTTTGTTAGGTATTATATTGTTCACATTAGCTTTTCAAACTATAGGACTGATTTGCATGCAGAAATTCATACTTAATGGAAAAAACTAATTATGGAGATATTATGCTTGAGTGTAGGTCCTCGGTGACCTTCTCATAAAGATACTGTAGCCCTGAAGGGACTAGGTTTCATTAAAGTGTTAAACTTTGTGTGACCTATTGTTAGTAGTAATGATAAATTACTAAATTATGTTTTTCTTTTAGTATATAATTTTGAAAATTACTTTTTCTGCAAACACATGAAACATTTATAATGCAAGCTAATGGGATTATAGCTTGATTTATAGCCAGGTTTTCAGGCTATAATCTTTAGTTATAAAGTGTCAGGCTGATAAGCAAGCCATTTTCAAAAGGAAACAAAGATCATCTGACAACTCCTCATACCTCCAGAGAAATTAAGCAATTACAATTTATACATGAAACTTTTTGGATTACTGCTTCCCTTTATCACAGTTTGTTAATATCAATAGCCCTCTCTCCTAATGTGTCAGCTGGAGTATGTTTATAATTTATATAACATTTTTTAAAAATATTGCTTCCAGTTACATACTCTTATGTATCTTGACCTTTTCTTTTATGTTCCTAGATTTTAGTACTATACAGAGTTTTTTTTTTTAATTTTTTGAAATGTTGACTAAAACCAACTTTCTTTTCTGATCTTCGTAAACAATTGTGATACTCATGCATATGTACCAGAGTTTTTTGGGGGTCATGAGAATGTCAGCTGAATGCTAGAGAAATATATAAGTCCAATCATTAGCACCTTCTAGAGAAATTAATTTATTGCAGTGGCGGGGTCAGCATGTCCAGGTGTCCCTTTAGCGTAAGGAATAAAGAGAATCACTACTTCTGTTTACAAGAGATACTTATTTAGAAGCATACTGCACAATTTTTTAGAAGATTGTTCCACAAATGACGTTATTATTTAATTTGGCCTGGTGACAGCATATTATTTAATTTGGCCTGGTGACAGCAATACATACATCTTTGAATTTGACACAGTTTGACACCTTTGAAGCAAATATGGGGGATTTATAGGTAATTAATTAGCCACTGATTAGTAGTACTATACTCAGTTGAGGTGATAAAAGACACACGTTTTTAAAAGGGTGTTAGTGTAAATGTTGTCACTTATTATTTAATAATGAATCTATATTTAACTCATGTTTACTGCTACACTGAGCTTGAAAACTAATGTGCTAAGATACAGCATACCCTTGGGGATCACTTTGATCAAATCACAAAGATGTTATTTGCATGTACTGCTAAGCAGGGTATTCTTTATCAGCAATTAAAGGTTACCACAAATACTGTATTACATACATAGTAAGAGAAAGAGGTGAAGTCTTGGAAATCAGTTTGTATTTTAAGTAGACTTGGTTGTTGTTCCTAGATGTTGAAAGTAATTTTATACATTCCTGTTTGTTTGTACTGTTCACAATGTTAATGTCTAGAAGAACTGTGAGGTACAGAAATTGAAAGATAGATTCTAACTGTAAACACCTCACTTTCCCCACTTTCACACATACTCTCTTTGGCTTAAGAAGTTACAAACTGATGGCAAAACATATTAAATGTTAACAACACAAAGATGCATAAGACCATAATATTTAGAAGTAATCTCTACATAGTTAGCTAAAGTTTTATCCTGTTTATATTACTTAAAGTCTTAATTTATGGTATTTTCCAAATAAATAATATCTCCCCATTTTTTAAATTTTATTTATTTTTAGCGAAAGGGGAAGGGAGGGAAAAAGAGAGGGAAAGAAACATCAATGTGGAGTTGCCTCTCATGAGGCTTGCACTGGGGACCTGGCCCACAGCCCAAGCATGTGCCCTGACTGGGAATCAAACTGGCAACCTTTCGGTTTGCAGGCCCACACTCAATCCACTGAGCTATACCAACCAGATCTCTCCCCACTTTTTACTACTCACAAGTGTGGAGCATTGAGCCATACTGTATTATTGGTACTTTACAAGTACTCAAAGGACTTATGAATTTTACAAATAAAAGAGGCATTCTAGAACTTCTGTGTTCAGCCATGATGAAGTAACAGAGACTGGATTTACAAGTGTCTGTAAATTTTAAAGGATTCAAAGCATTAAAAAAATGTGTTCTGACTATAATGAAATTAAGTTAGAAACCAGCAAAAAGATATCTCAGAAATCTTACTGATAGTTTGAAATTAAATAATATATCTTTTAATAACCCAAAGGACAAAGAAAAAGTCAAAGGGGAAAGTTCAAAATATTTGGAACTGAATAAAAATTAAAACATGACATTTCAAAATCAGAGGGATGCAGCAAAAGCAGTGGTTAGTGGAAAATATATGAACTAAACACTTTATTAGAAAATGAGAGTGGTTTCAAATTAATGACAATTTTCACATCAAGAACTTGATGAGAAAAAGCAATTAATTTGAAAACAGAAGAAAGGAATAATAAAGAACATAAATCAATGAAACAAATCAGAAAAACAGTAGAGAAAATTAATGAAATAAACTACTTAAAATTAGTAAAAGCAATGAACTTCTAGGCTGACTGAGCAAGAGAAAAAAAGGAAGAAACAAATTATCAATATAAAGAATAAAGGGGCATATCACTGCATATTCCGTAAATAAGAGGATAGTGGAATATTATAAACAACAGATAAAAATCTTTAAAACTACAAGCTATCCAAGATCACTGATGAAAAAAATAGATGAGTATCCCTATATTATATTGTATTATATTATATTATATATTAACACTATGTTATGGTAGTGTGGGAAATTTATACATAAAAATTGGACTTTTAGTTAAGAATCTTGCCACCAAAAATTTAACAGCAAACTAGTTCACTGGTGAATTATACTAAACATTTTAAGGAATAAATAATACCAATTCTCTAAATGTTTGTCCAGAAAATTTAAGAAGAGGTAGCACTTCCCGAATCATGAGCCCAGTGTTACCCTAAAACCAAAAGTGTTACAGAAAAAGATACTCAAAGAAAACTACAGAGCAATATTTCTCATGAATATAGAAACAAAGGTTGTGGCAAATTTTGGCAAATTGAATCCTGCAATATATATAAAGGCTAATACCTTATTGTCAGGTGGGGTTGATTAGTTATCTGTTAAAAAATTAGTGTAATTCACCACATTACCAGACTAAAGAACAAAGCCATAGATTATCTTAGTAGATGAAGAAAAGGGTTTTGAGAAAAAGATAACATCTAATTGTGGCAAAATATGTCTAAAACTAGGAATAAAAAGGAACTGTCTTATCCTGATAAGCTCGTTTATGAAAAATATACAACTAATATACTTAGTGGTGAAAGACTGAATGCTTTTTCCCAAAGATCAGGAAAAGTCAAGGATGTCAGCTCTCTCCACTTCTATTAAACATTAGACTGGAGTTTTTAACCAGTATTGTAAAGCAAGAAAAAGAAACAAACATGCAGATTGGAAAGTAAGAACTAAATTTGTTTGTGTGTTTATGTGTGTATTTATAACTTGGTTATCTATGTAGAAAATCCCAAGTACTCTACCAAAAAAAATATTCTTGAAGCAAGAAATGAACTATCAAGGTTACATGATACAAAGTAAACATACAAAAATCAATTATATATCAATTATATAACAAATCAATTTCTAAATATTTGCACTATACAACTGGGAATTTAAATTTAAAATTACTTATAGTAAATTGTATAAAATACAGACTTTTAGAGGTAAAGTAGACAAAAGATATATATGGAAAACTACAGAATGTTACTGAGAGAGCCCTGGGTGGTGTGGCTCAGTATGTTGAGTGCTGGCCTGTGAACCAAAAGGTCACTGGATTGATTCCTGGTCAGGGCACTTGCCCGGGTTGCAGGCCAGGTCCCCAGCTGGGGGTGCATGAGAGGCAACCAATCAGTGTTTCCCTCTCTCCCTCCCTACCCCTCTCACTAAAAAAATAAAATCTTTGAAAAAATTCTTTAAAATTTATTTTAAAAGAATATTGCTGAGAGAAATTAAAGTAGTAAAGTGATATGTAGCATGTTCATGGATCAGGAAATTCAGTATTGTTAAGGTATCACTTGTCCCCAACTTAATCTCTTTATTCAGTACATTCCCTGTCATAATCCCAGGAGGCTTTTTGATAGGAATTGGCATCCTGATCCTAAAATTTATATGGAGAATCAAAACAGGTAGGATAGCCATAGCAGTTTTTAAATGAAAGACAATTTTGGGGCAGGCTGCAATAATCAAGGAACTCTCTTATTGGTGAAAAGAAAGTCATGGAGACCATGGAGTAGAATGAGAACCAAGAAGCAGAACTGCACATATAGGGTGAATTGATTCTAATCATTGTGGCCAAAACAATTCACTGGGCAAAGAAAAGTTTTTTAAATTATGGTGTCATAGCCAGAAAAATAATTCTCAATTCTTACAGGATATTACACAGCCCTGCTTTAGAAATCCAAAGAGGTCGAGGGCACATGCCTGGGTTGCAGGGCCAGGTCCTCAATATGGGGACACGCAGGAGGCAACCACACATTGATGTTTCCCTCCCTCTCCTCCTGCCTCCTTTCCCCTCTCTAAAAAAAGTAAATAAATAAAATCTAAAAAAAAAGAAAAAAAGAAAAAAAAATCCAAAGAGGATTTTTTGCTCTTATGAAAAACACTTTTCCAGTACTAATATAGGTCTTTTGTAAACGTGAAGTGGCATAACTTGAACTTTCAGAAATCAGAGGATACTCTTCACATTATGCCATTTTGACTTAGAAAGGTTTTATGGGAACACTGTGTTAGGATAGTGTGGGAAACCTGTATATGAAAAAAATTATAATCAATTATAGATCTAAAAGGAACAACTAAAAGCATAAAAATTATTGAAGAAAACAAAATTTTAGTGTTTTGGATTAAAAGATTTCTTAAGTAGGGCAACAAAAAGGCACAAGTCATATAAAAGAAAAAATGATAAAATTAGACTTCATTAAAATTAAAACCTTGTAATCTTTGAAAAATGTATACAAAGGAGGCAAGCCACAGATAAGGAAAAAATGTTAGCAAAACATGTATCAGCTAATGTAGCTAGAATATAGTCAGAACTTGTACAAGTCAATAATAAGACAAGTAACCTATTACTGTGTATTGGGAAAAATATTTTAACACATACATCACCAAATAAGATATGCAGATTATAAATACCCACATGAAAATATGCTCACTCTGTAAGTCACTTGGAAAATGCAATTTGAAGCTGAAGGTTCTGTGTACCTGCAAGAACAAAAGTTAAAAACATAGCTCACATGTAAGTGTTATAGAATGTGGGCCCAGGACTCGCATTACACTGCCAGTAGGAATCTAGGGGACTACCTCTGGAAAAGTTTGGTTGTTTCTTAAAAGTATTCATACAGTCTAGCCCCCTCCTTTCTAGGTTTTTACTCAAAAAAAGTGAAAGCATAGGTCCACACAGAGACATGCACAATAATATTCACAGCAGCTGGAACAGGTTAATGGATAAATAACTGTGGTATATCCATACAACAAAATACCACTGAACAATAAAATGGAATGAATTATTATTCATGCACATAGTCACATGAGTGAAGCTCAAAATAATTATGACTATTGCGAGAAACCAGACTGAAACAAGTACATAGTGTATGATTCGATTGATATAAATTTCTAGAAAATAAAGAGTGACCATGGTTGCCTAGGAGGGTTAGGAAGGGGAATGAGGGATGCACAACCTTTCGGGGATGATGGATAAGGTATGTCATCTTGATTGTGGTGATGCTTTCATGAGCAGACATGTCTAAAGCTCATAAAATTATATACTTTATAATGTATACCATACTGTACATCAGTTATATCTTGATAAATATGTTTGAAAACAGACAAAGAACAATGTTAGAATATCTTTATGTGTGGTGGTATTTTCATGATTTAGGTGAATACAGTAGCTGCTCTTAACATGATTTACAGTTTTGCCATTTGAAATTCAAAAAGATTTTCTAGCCATAGGAGTTGTCTGAGAGAAAAATATTTTATTATATTAAGTATTTTACTTTTCAAATATGCTTTTCAGCAGAATTCCACTTAATTTTTAGAAGTCATTTCTCCTTGTTGCTTGGCAAGGAGTGTCTCAAAACACTGCACTGACTTTAGATAATGAAATCAATCTCAGGAAATTAAGGATATTTATGGAAATTATGAGTTAAAATTTGTATTTATACTCCTAAAACACATTTATATAGGACAATTATAGGGGAGTAGAAAGTACAACAGAAACATGTGTAGGGAACTGCTTCATAGGGTGTGGAAATGTAGCTCAGCACCCACGTGGAAAACCAGTGGGGAGCAAGCTGGCACGCAGGACCACGCCCGCAGAGAGATTCTCTTGTGGGAAATCAGGCCTGCATTATTACATCTAGGCTGCTTTGTGACTTGCTCTTGCCAAAACTCCCTCACCCTGAGTTCAGGCAGCAAATGCTTACTGCATATATTTAAAGTAACTTCCTGAAGTCTGTGCTAATTCTCCCAAGGACTGAAGTGTAACCAGACCAATTACTCTCATCATTTCCTTGCATTTTCAACATTGTTTCCTTGTTAATCTGTAAGAAGTAATCAGTAACATCCGTTAGTTGCTCTCTGTAAAAAGTAATTACCTAAAGCAAACGTTAAGTATAACGAATGAAAACCCTCTTTGATGTATGCTATTAGAAAGCCAGTAAAAGCCTGTCAAGGCAAGGGTCTGGGCGCTCTCCCCTTGAGAGTGGCTGTGCCATCCCTTTCTTTTCCTCCACAGGACTCAGCAGTTCCTGTGAATTTATCTTATCTCTTCCACAATGTTGAGGACTCCACGAGTTGGGTTCCGCATCAATTATGGATTACTTTTCTATCTCATTTAAAACTTTTCCATTTAACTCTAATGGAATTTATTATACTTAAATAAAATCCATGCTTTCCATAACTTAGCATTGTTCTGTCAGGCAGTGCACTTTGTGATTGCTATAATGGTATAAAGTTTTCTATCAAATGGCAAATATATTTGGAATCAATTTTCTTCCCTTATACCTATTTCTTAGGATTCCTTTTTTAATGCATTCTGGAAGTAGCTATTTCTATTGTTTATAGTTGTTTTTTAGTCCAAAAACAACTGTACACATATATACACATTTTATAATGCTGAGAACTCCAACCCTGCAAACCTGGAAAACTTTTCTAACATTTAGATTGCATAAGTTTTATCTGTTAAAATTGTGACTACAAGAGCTAACTGTAGTAAGAATCACTTTTATTGCCATAAAGTATTTGTATTAATGTGAATTACATTCCTTTTAAGCTTCCTGATTTAAAATGAATTGCTCATTATTGATAATTAGTGAGTTGTTTTTATTCTTTGGTTTAATAAACCAGTTAGAAGTGTATGACTGCTTTGTGTAGCAAAGTTGTGGAAGAGAGACAGAAGTTCTTGTCTGTGAGAATTTTGTAGTCTTAATTGAGAAATACAAGTAAGATTTCAAAGGAACACTGTAGTCTAATATTAGGATCTAGCCAAATTATTAAATATTATTCTGATAATTAGGATCATCACATGACAGTGGCAGGTGGTGATTCATTGTTAAATGAAACACATTTATTTTAGTACCTGTGGAATTTGAAGGAATTTTTGACTTGGCAGGATTTGGGAAGGCTTCGTGGAAAAGGAGGGATTTTTGCTTAAGTGGGTTTATTGAGGTAAAGTACTTAAAAACAGTGCCTGGCACATAGTTAACACTCATTTAATGGTGAAAGTTGTTGCTGCTGTCCTCAGCAGCATCTGAATGGAAAGGATTATAATAAACACTTGAATGAGGAGATATGCTTGGCTGGGTAGTGACATGATTTGCTATGAATATGTGCCATTTCTGCAGAAACTGTGAGCTCAGCCCAGGTCCTTTGCTGTTTTTGTGCTTGCCTGCTTTGAATCTCAATAACAACACTTTTTTTATTATGATGTAGGAGTGCTTGGCTTGTTCCTAATTTATATTACTTAAATTTTCGTTAATTTTAAAATGAGTGTCTATTTACTGGTAAAGATTTTGTTCATCTTCATTTAAAGGGTTTTTTTTTTTTCCCCAACAGGAGCATCGGAATTTGCCTTTTATGCGTGAACTGAGATATCTATTTGCACTTCTTGTCGGTACTAAAAGGAAATATGTTGATCCATCAAGAGCAGTTGAAATTCTTAAGGATGCTTTCAAATCAAATGACTCCCAGCAGGTAGCTGTATTGTGCTTACTTGTTTATTAACCATTTGTGTTTTGCTTAATCTGATTATTCAGTCAGCACTTTTTTAAAAGATTCATGCAATTGAAGATGTTATTCATCTCTATTAAAATAAGCTGGAGCCATTTAAAACATTAATTTGGAAGATCTTTTTAATTAAGAAAAAGTAATAAGGTATAATTTATGATTGAAATTGGTAAGTTAAAACAATAGGTAAAAGTAAGAATGCTCTAAAACGTTTAATTAAAAGTCTTCACATGTGTATGATAACCCAATGCTAATACAGTTTACCTGATTTGATATGCCTGTTTTTGCTGGGAGGGAATGGCTTTCCTTAAAAATCAGAGAAAGTTTCTGAACTACATTAACTTTGTTGTTGCTTTTATTTTCTACTCTTTATGTGGAACTATTTAGTGGCTTTTTATTCATTTCTGTAAAAGAATATTGGGAATTTTTGTATAAAATAGAAAACCTCTATAAACAAACCAACATTTTCACATATAATTGAGAAGTCAGAGAAACTAATGGAGGAAAACAGAAGAGAAGCAAGAAAGTAGCAGAGAATAATAGCAGCAGTGTTGGAAGCCATGGCAATGAAGCAATGAGCAGAAGTAAAACATTTTGTAAAAGCCACTACAGTTGCTGTGTAGTCTTTGTAGTACTTGGATGTGTCTCTGGGACGCAGGTGTGTGGACAGTGTGTTGGGAGAAGGGTTTTGAAAGATACGTGATTCTGCCACCTCCTTCCCTGTGCATTTTTTGTTTTTTTACATTTTATGGCAAAAATGAACAAAAACAGTGCCCGTGATATGGTTGGTGGAAATGGATTTCTTACATGTAGTAAGAAAAGCATTTCAGGGACCCGCATATGGGAGATGAGACATGGTAAAATTTACTGGAGTAGAAATGAAAGACTGCTCCCAGGTTCCCAATGTTTGATTTGTATCCGTCGTGCTGTGGAGGAAGTTCAGCCTTGTCTTCTGAAAACCTTCTGGGCTAAGTTTTTTGAGTTTTTTTGTAGTGTTGTTTTCTTATTTAGTATGTATACCCTATTTTCTTGTGGCACAGAGTACACAATTAAATTTGATAAATCACTTCTATACCTCTGTCACAGGTGGGCACAGGTAACCAGGTTCTTAGTGATCGGGACGAAGAATTGAACCGAACACCCAGAGTTTATGGAAGAGAACGTGGGAGCAGGCCAACTCCAAGCAGAGATTGACCTCATGGGCTGGGGCGACTTTATTCTTATAGGGCGGATCCTTCCTGGCTAGTTTTAGTGGGCTTTTACTGAGTGTACACAAGTAGTTGCATTACTTTAAAGCTACTGCGCTTGTGGTTTCCCATGATCCTCCCTGACTGGCCACCAGGGAAGAGGGTCCCACAATGCTACCGAATTCATCCCCGTTTCTCCTGGGGTCCCCCTGTACTTGGTTCACCTTTCCCTTCGCCAGAGAATTATAGCTCTCCATGTTAGAGATTGGTGAAAAAGAAGAGTTATTTATTCAAGTTATACAGACTAAAAGTAATGACTTAATGTCTTTGTCAAAAATCCCAAAGTCCCTTGAAACACCCACAAACACACACAGTCCTTCCTTACCCGCTTTGCCCAGTCTGGAGTACCGTATCTCAGTAAAAGAAATAGAAGTCCATGGCTTAGCCAGCTCTCGGTTTTTCTTAGTAATTTGTGCTCAGCTGGCAGGCCTTCCCTAGTTCCCAGCACCATTGGTTGTGTTGCCAGGATCTCCAGCTAAAGCCTTGTGGTGATTCTCCTCATGGCTGCGGGGGGCGGGGCGGGGGTGGGGGTGGGGTGATGCCCCTTTCTGGAAGAGCAACGGGCAGCAGCAGCAGGAGCGTCCAGAGGGCTAGCTCGGAGCTTATCGTGACCTGGCCCCGGGCCCAGAGCAGGTGGCTGCAAGGTTGGCCTGAGGTTCCGAGAGCCCGAGTGATGGAAGCGTGGGCGCAGCGTGCGGAGGCGTGGCGGTGGCTGCGGCAGCCGGGCAGTGACCCTGTGCTCCTGAGTCACTTACTGGTGGCCCCTTCTCGCGGCCGAGGCTGCAGAGCCGGCTGGGGCTCGGAGCCAGGCAGTAGAGGAGCCGCAGGCGGCTGCATCTTGGCCGGTGTCTGCACGGCTGCAGGAGTCCCCACTCTGCTAAAGCCGCATAGTTCTTACTTCAATGGTTGCTGCGCTTGTGTTTAAATCCCCGCGCCAATCTTCCTCTGCAGCCCCATTTCCGACTCCTCCCACACTCGGCCTCACGGCCCAGAACTCTCAAAGCCTTCCAGCTTTACTGGACTGCCATTGTGGGTCTGGGCAGGTACGGCCCCATGTCATGGAACCAATCATCTCCAAGTTCTCACGCAGGTGCAAGCGCGGTAACCAGGATGAGTTGCCTCCCAGGTGCTGTAACTAGGGAAAGTTACTTCCATTTCCCTGGCTCAGAGCTTGGCCAGAGCTAGTTAACATATCTATGTAACCAGCCAAAGGCCATAGATATGTAAAATGACCATGCCAGAGGGTAGCTGCAAGGCTGTTGCTATGGGAAACAGCTCTCAATGGCCCTGCTCCATTTGTCCCTTCCCCCAACCCACACCTGAGGTGGAGGGTGAGGACATCCTATATATTTTTCTAATATTTCATGGACGCCTTGAGTTCTGAACCCCATTACAAATCCTTCTTTGGGGGACCCTTTGGCTGCACCCTCCTACACCTCTACTTATCTTTTATTCTTGAATTGCTTTTTCTTTGTCTTTTCCTTACAAGGCAACACAAGCTTCACTGGGAGCCGAGTCTGTGCATAGGTAGACTCTGGTTTTGTTTGAGGGGAGAGGAGACAACCAGCTGTAATTGCTGTGATGTACTCCAGAATGCCACAATGGAAATGCCTCTGCTTTGTGCCAGCAGTATAGAATAATTCGTTTTCTTACTGTAGACTTTTTTCTCCACAAGGTCCATCAGTTGAGGCAGATACAGGTTTGATTCTCTCCACTCTTAAGGCACCTGAATCTGAAGTACACATTAGTGACATAGTGGAATAAACCTATAAGTGAAATAAGCATAATTGTTTTTTTTAAAAGTAAACTTATGCTTACATTTCATGTTCTTTCTAATTATATCATATTTTGAAATACTCAGGAGTCTTGGGGGGATACCCTTTGGGATATAGTACTGCCAATTTTAGTTATAACTTTTAATTGAAAACTAAAATGTTATAATGAAGGCTTCATCTTTTTTTCTCTTGATGAAGGCAGGTAGAATTATTTTATAATTGTAAATTTTAGATGGATTGATAAAACAGACAGGGATTAATTTCTTCTGAAGAGTATTTTGATAACGAGGAAACCATTTTGTTTCTTGCCAAATATCCTTGCAAGATAAGTGAAGTTTAGAAAAATATGGAAGGTTTTAAGGTGCTATAGCTTACTTGGATAACTGTAGCACGTTACAACAATCCAAGTGACTTAAAAACAGTAGAAGATTTTTCTCTCCATAACTTAAGAGGCCAGAAACCCTAAATAAAGGTGTTGGCTGGGCAGGGCTTCCTCCAGCAGCTCCAAGGGAGAGAAGCCTTTCTTGCCTCCAGCACCTTCTGTTGGCTCCTGGAGCTATTGACTTGTGACAGCATAGCTCCAGCCTCTCTCTCCTTCTTCACGTGGCCTTTTCCCCTGCGTGTCTGAGTGTTTGCTCATGTTCTGTGTTTTATAGGAATGCTCATGATTGGATTTAGGGCCCATCCTCTCCAGGATAATCTCATCTTGAAATCTTTACCTTAATTATGTCTGCAAATATTTATTCCAAATAAGTTTACATTCTGAGGTTCCAGGTGGACATAGATTTTGGCAGGTGACTGTTTAACCTACTAGAGATGGTATGGATATTTATAACTGGATTTTTTGCTGAGTATAGTTGTTTTTAACTATTCGAGTTTGGAGTAATTTAAGTAATCTTCCTAGACCTTAGTTTCAATATTTTAAAGGTGTATAGGTAGGCCCAGATGCTCTTTAAACAATTTTTAGATGGAAAAACATATGATAGTGAGTTTGTTTTATATTTAGGGCTACTTTGATAATTAAAGACAAATTACTTACATTGATTTATCTATCCCCACACCCCCCCCCCCCAGGTTTTAAATGAACCTATTTTCTATGTTTCAACTCATATATCTCAAAAAATTATGGTAGTTGATATGTACAACTGCTATTGGCTATTCCAGTTTTTCTCTGAGGGGAGCTAGAACTGAAGGAAGGGGTGACAAAAGGTGATGGATGGGCTAGTTCTGAGTGGAGGATCAGTTTGAAGTTCATAAGATAGTAGACTCAATAGTTGGGCAATCAGTGATTGATTGAACTCAACCTAAGTTAACATATTTTAGTTCAGTTGTTACGCTTTTTAAAAAATGAATTAAGAAAAACATGTCTTCCTTCTAAGAGAGAAGCCAGTAACAATTCTCTATAAAATGAAGAACTTTTTGGTGATATGGGTGTTTTTTTAATATTCACTACAGAGCTTTCTTGAGAGAGTAATAATTCTTTTAAAAAATCTCATTTGTTCGTTTAAAGTTTTTTCCTGAAGTAGAACCCAATCACAATGATTATCAATATAGTTCTTGGTTTTTTCAAATACTGGTTTTATGTTCTGGTTAAGTTATAAATATTTCTTGCATTTGATGTGAAAGATTTCATGTGATGCCTTTGTGAGGAATCAGTAATTATACATTTGAATGTCTGGCTGTAAGTTTTATGTTGCAATATTTAGTATTTTTGTTAATAGGCTCAAAAATCAACAGATTTTTTTTTTTCTTTCCACAGCAAGACGTAAGTGAGTTTACACACAAATTATTAGATTGGTTAGAAGATGCCTTCCAAATGAAAGCTGAAGAAGAGACGTAAGTTACCATGAAATTTATTCTTAGAGTTTTAAGAACTTTATAAATAGCATTCTTTTTTTTTTCTTTTACATATTCAATGTCAACAGAGAAATAGGAATCTGAGGTAGACACATGGGAACCCAAATGTTACCTCTATATTATTGACTAGCTGTTTGGCATTTGTGGCCACAAAGGATGATGGTAGCTTTAGATTTCCACTATAAGAGCGGAATCTAGCAGAAAGACATAAAAACTAATCCCTGAAAGGGCTAGTTGCATATACCCCCTTCTTTTCCTTAGATTCAGTGAGGAGAGGGACATATTTCAAGTAAGACTTAAGATTTCAGAGGAAATGGAAAAGTTCTAGCCTCTTTCTAAAACAGTTTCAGAAAAGGGGGAGAAAATTTGACTAGAACCCTAAGAAAATTAACAGAAAGTAAATTAATATGCAAGACTTCAAAATTGAAATAGAATGACTCCGTTGGAAGAAACAAAGATTCAGAAAATAGTCAAGTGGCACTCTTCTAAGACTCCAGATAAGAAGCAGTTTAGGAGTAATGTGTTGAAGATAGGACACTGTATGAAGTGCTTACAGAAAATCTGGATACATTTGAGAGGAGGAACTAGGAGCTTCAGGGTGAAACATTTAAAGAACTACTGAGAGCCCTGACCAGTGTAGCTCCCATAGAGAGCCACTGTCCCATAGACCAAAAGGTTGGTGGTTCAATTCTCCATTAGGCCACATGTCTGGGTTGGGGGTTCGATCCCTGCTCCAGGCACATACAAGAAGGCAACCAGTTAATGTTTCTCTCTCACATCGATGTCTCTGTCCACCCCCACTTCCTCTCTCTATAAAAGCTGTAAATTTCAGTATTAGAACCTTGAAGTTACAAGGAACATGAGCTTTTAAGAAAGGAAGCAGGGGGGATAACCATAGATGAAGTACATAGGCTCTCCATTAGTCTGGCAGGACAGTAATGCTGGTGGAATCTTTCAGCTCAGATGGACAGGGCATGTTTGATTAAGAATAGTTTTGCGCTCTGGCTGGCGTAGCTCAGTGGATTGAGTGCGGGCTGGGAACCAAAGTGTCCTAGGTTCGATTCCCAGCCAGGGTACATTCCTGGGTTGCAGGCCATAACCCCCAGCAACCGCACATTGATGTTTCTCTGTCTCTCTCTCTATCTCCCTCCCTTCCCTCTCTAAAAATAAATAAATAAAATATTTTTTTAAGAAAAGAATGGTTTTGCCCTTCCCAACAAGCCCAAATAAGCATATATCATACAAACTAAAAGTCTGATACTGAAGTGTATAATAATAGAAAGATCAGGCATTCGTGAGCACAGACTATAGCAGGTCCTCCTGTAAGGGCATCCTGCATAGTAAGTCATTTTAACCTTTAAAATACCCTTGTGGTTTTAATTACAGTTATTATCTTCAGTTGACAGGTGATGAAATGGAAGAGTAAATTTAAATACTTCACCCAAGGTGACACTAAAGAGCAGAGCTGAGTGCATGATAACTATATACATTATTGTTCGTTTAATGTTTTCTTTATTATTTATAAGTACAAAAATTAAAACCATATTTATGTTTTTTTGAACATGCTTTAGGGACGAAGAGAAGCCAAAGAACCCCATGGTGGAGTTGTTCTATGGAAGATTCTTAGCTGTGGGAGTACTTGAAGGTATAGTTACATGTTTACCTTTTATTGCAATAGAAAAGATACTATCTGTTAGCTCCTTTCTCTAAATACCAACTCTTATTTGTTGAATGATTGTTCATTTTAATTGACCTTCTCTGTTTAGAATTCCTGTTAAATTGCTACTACTAATCATTTATATACAAAGCGCAGAATGTGTGATGAAAACAAAGGTACAGAGTGACTTATCACATGCTAATTGATACTTAATATTATCCTGTTGTTCTTTCCCTGGAAAGGCTTATATGATTGGTTAATATTAGGATACAGTTGTTGGTGGGTCTTTTGAAAATAATAATGTAGTTAAATATTGTGTTTTGGACTATTATCACTGTTTTTGAGGGTTTCAGGTCTATGAATGTTGAAAGCTGCCTTTAACAATTTAGCATAATCAAGAACTTGTAGGATTTTTTTCCTTTTTATTGAATTTATTGGGGTGACACTCATTAACCAAATTATACAGGTGTCAGGTGCACAATTTTACAACACATCATCTGTACGAGGTATTACATGTTCACCACCCTAAGTCAAATCTTTGCTCATCACCATTTACCCCCCATACCCTCTTCCACTTCCCTTTGCCCCCCGCCAGACATCACCACACTATTGTCCTGACCAAGAGTTTTCTCTCTCTTTTTTTTGTTCAGTCCCTCCACTCCCCAACCCGGCTCCACTCCTCATAGCTGTCAGCCTACTCTGTGACTGTGTCTCTGTTTTGCTTGTTAGTTCATTTTGTTCATTAGATTCCACATTTGAGTGGAATCATAGGGGACTTGCCTTTCTCTGACTGGCTTATTTCACTTAGCATAATCTTCTCCAGGTCCATCCATGCTATCACAAAGGGTAAGGTTTCCTTGTTTTTGATGGCTGAGTAGTATTCCGTTGTGTAAATATACCACAGCTTTTTATCCACTCATCTACTGATGGGACATTTGGGCTGCTTCCAAATCTTGGCTATTGTAAATAATGTTGCAATGAACAAAGGGTGCATGTATTCTTTCAAATTGGTGTTTTGGGTTTCTTTGGATAAATTCTCAGAAGTGGAATAGCTGGGTCATAAGGCAGTTACATTTTTAATTTTTTGAAACAACTCTATACTGCTTTCCACAGTGGCTGCACCAGTCTGCATTCTTACCATTGGTGTAAATGGGTTCCCCTTTCTCCACATCCTTGTCAACACAAGGATGCCCTTATAATGTTTGTTGATTTATTGATGGTAGCCATTCTGACAAGTATGAGGTGGTATCACATGGTGGTGTTAATATGCATTTTTCTGATGATTAATGTCATTGAGTATCTTTTCATATGTCTATTGGCCATCTGTATGTCTTCTAAGGAGAAGTGTCTATTCAAAATCTTTGACCATTTTTTAATTGGATTGTCTTATTTTGGATATTGAGTTTTATATGTTCTCTATAAATTTTAGATATTGACCTCTTATCACATGTATTGGGGAATATGTACTCCCTTTCAGTGGGTTATCTTTTCATTTTGTTGATGGTTTTCTTTGTTGTGTGAAAACTTTTTGGTTTGGTATAGACTGATTTGTTTATTCTTTCTTTTGTTTCCCTTGCCCGAGGGGAGATATCTGAAAAAATATTGCTATGACAAATGTCCTAGATTTTACTGCCTGTGTTTTCAAGTAAGATTTTTATGGTTTCAAACCTAACATTCAAGTATTTAATCCATTTTTAATTTATTCTTATGTATGGTATAAGTTGGTTATTTAGTTGTATTTTTTGCATGTACCTGTCCAGTTTTCCCAACACTGTTTGTTGAATAGACCATCTTTACCTCATTGTAATTTTTTGCCTCTTTTCTCAAATATTAATTAACCATAAAGGTTTGAGTTTATTTCTGGGCTCTTTATTTTGTCTCTTGATCTACATGTCTGATTTTATGCCAGTACCATGCTGTTTTGATTACTGTGACCTTGCAGTATAGTTGGATATGAGCCAGTGTGATTGCTCCAACTTTGTTGTTCTTTCTCAAGATTGCTACAGCTATTAGGAGTCTTTTATGGTTTCATAAAAACTTTTGGAATATTTGTTCTGGTTCTGTGAAATATGCCTTAGATGCCTTGATAGTAATTGTGTTGAATCTATAGATTGCTTTGAGTAGTATGGACATTTTAATGATGTAATTTCTCTTATTCGTGAATACAGTATATGCCTCCACTTATTTTTATCTTCCTGAATTTCTTTCTTCAGTGTCTTATAAATGTCCAAGTACAGGTCTTTTACCTCCTGGGTTAAATTTACTTGTATTGCTAGGTGTTTTTTTATAGAATTGTAAATGAGATTGTTTTCTTAGTTTTCCTTTCTGATAGTTTAGTATTGGCATATGAAAATACAACTGATCTCTGGATATTAACTTTGTATGCTGTCACTTTGCTGAATTCATTTATCCATTCTAGTAGTTTTTTGGTGGAATCTTTAGGATTCTCTTTATATAGTGTCATATCATCTGCACATAATAACAATTTAACTTCTTCCCTTCCAATTTGGATGTCTTTTATTTCTTCTTCTTGTCTGATTGCTATGGCTAGGATGTCCAGTACTTTTTGAATAAGAGTGGGGAAAGCAGACATCCCTGTCTTGTTCCTGATCTTAATAGAAACAATTTTAGTTTTTGCCTATTGAAGATGATGTTGGCTCTGGGTTTCTCATATATGGCCTTTATTGTGTTGAGGCATGTTCCCTAAATTCCCATTTTACTGAGAGTTTTTTTAATCATAAATGAATGTTGGATTTTATCATATGCTTTTTCTGCATCTATTGATATGATCTTATGGTTTTTATCCTTCATTTTGTTTGTATAGTATATTGTGTTTATTGATTTGTGGATATTGTACCAACCTTTCATCTCTAAAAGAAATCACATTAGATCATGGTGTGTGATCTTTTTGATGTATTGTTGTATTCAGTTTGCTAATATTTTGATGGGCATTTTAGCAACTATGCTCATCAGGAATATGAGCATATAATTTCCTTTCTTTTTTAGTGCCTTTATCTGTTTTTTGGAACTGGGATAATGCTGGCCTTATAAATGAGCTTGGGAATTTTTTTCCTCTTGAATTTTTTGGAATAGTTTGAGGATAGTTGTTAGTTCTTTTTCCAATGTTTGGTAAAATTCACCTGTGAAACCATCTGGTCCAGGATTTCTGTTTGTTGGGTGTTTTTTAATTACTGCTTCGATTTCACTGGTTGTGATCCGCCTGTTCAAAAGACCTCATGTTTCTAGAACTTTATCCATTTTGTCCAGATTGTCTCAATTTCTCTTCTCTTTCTGGTATCCCCCTTTGTTGCAGATATTGTTACACTTCGTGTCCCAAAGGTTTCTTAAACCATTCTCATTTTTTGCAGTTATTTTTCTGTCCTAAATGGTGTGTCTCAGTTGGTTGGGTATCACCCTAGAAAACGAAAGGTTGCCAGTTCAGTTCCTGGTCAGGGCACATGCATAGGCTACAGGTTAGGACCCTGATTGGGACAGATATGAAAGGCAACCAATCAGTGTTTCTCTCTCATATTGATCTTTCTCCTTTCTCTTTCTCCTCCCTCCCCTTCTCTCTAAAAAATAATAATAAATTGAATAATTTTTTTAATTTTTGCTGCTCTAATTAGGGTGTTTTTTCTACCTTATCTTCTAAATTATTGATTTAATCATCTGCCTCATCCAACCTGCTATTTATTCTTTCAAGGGCATTCATCATTTCAAATATTGCATTCTTCATTTCTGACTGCTTGTATTTTATGGTTTCTATGTCCTTTTTCATGCTGTCAAACATCCTTATCACCATTACTTTGAACTCTATATTTTATATCGATAAATTGCTTTTACTCATTTTATTTACCTCTTTTATTTACCTCTTTTTCTGGATATTTTTCCTGTTCTTTCATTTGAGACCTTTTTTCTGTCGTTTTTGGCTGCTTCTTTGTGTTTGTTTCTATGTATTAGATTGATCTGCTATGACTCCTAGTCTTTGTGGGGTACATGTCCTGTGGGGTGCAGTGGTGCAGTCTCCTTGATCACCTGAGCTGGTTATTACAGGGATGTCCCTTGTGGGTCAGCTGATTTGTGTGTGGAATCAACCCTTGGGCTGGCTGAGTGTGAGACTCAACCCTGATCGCAGTGTACAAGCTGCTGTGCAGATGCTGACCACATGAAGTGGAATTTGCCTCAGCAGGGTTTGGTGCCTGCCAAAATCTCCCTTTGTATATGCTGCTTGTGAAGCTTATTGGATCCTACTTTGATGTTGTCTGAAGCTGGCCACTGAGTGTTTTGGTTCTGGGCTTCTTGGGAGGGACTCTGGTGTAGACCAGCATAAGCCACTGCCTGTGACTGGCCCTTGGCAACCTGTTTGGAGCTGCAAAGCAGTTCTTTAGACTCTTCTTTTTTTTTTTCCACTAGTATTTTTTAATTTCATTTCCTTATGCTTACTTTTCCTCATTTATTTTTCTGTTTAATTGCATTGTTTGACTGGTTTTTCTTATTCTCCCTTTATTGTATTTTAATATTCTTTCTTTCACTTTACCCTTGTTCCAATAATATACAACTCCTTTTTAAAATTTTTATTTTAATTGTTGTTGCAGTACAATTTTCTCTTTTACTCCCATCCCAACCCACCCACTCAGCCCTCTCCTCCTCCCTCCCATTTCCCCACACCCCTAGTTTTTATCCATGTGTCCTTTATACTCGTTCCTGTAAACCCTTCCCCTTTTGCCCTGAAATTCCCTCCCTCTACTTTTCAAGACAAAGAGTTGTCTTCTGTCTTTTGAAAAATCAGCTAAGAGTGATACTGCTCTACTTACCCTAAATGCTCATTACTTAAAATCTGGGCCTAACCAGTTACTCCTTGATTTTCCTAATAAAGGATAGAACTGAGTCAGTAGTATACTTCAAATAATAATATTAGTAATTCCCCCCCAAAATTTTTGAGAACTTATTTTTACCAAATGGCCCAATGCATCAACTTTTAGAAGTCTACCCAAAGTATAAATTTGGAAAATTAGTTTTCCTTTTAGATGTTAAGTAATGGACTCCCATGAATGTTTGTTTGAATATAGTTTTATAATTTAGAATTTGGAAAAAGACAGAAACTAAGTAATTGTTCAGTTATTTAAAATGTTAAAGTGTCAGTGTATTTTTGTTTGCTTCAAATGTTAATATTCATTATATAAGAGTGGAATAGTTTACGTAGTGCATTACTTTTTAATTTGGGATATTCATACTGTAATATGGATTTTTATTTGAAGAAGAATGCTGTATCTGAAGCCAGAGAGTAACTCTAATCAGGTTGTGACTGGCCACTATTTATAATCCTCTTTATGAGCATTTCTATCTGTATTACCATGATTCTTAAGGGTGATTGTTATTAAAATACTTAATTTGTCAATCAGTGTCAAAGTCTTTGTACTTAGTATCTTCTTCAAAACTATTTTGCTACATAAATGTAATTTTAATACATTTCCACATGAACTATGTGTTTGCTTTGTTAAAAATAATTTATTTTAGAGCACTTTCTGATCACTTTTTTATATATATCTTCCTAATGCTTTCTTTTAGATCACTAAGTCCCAGTTGGGGTGATTTCAGTTTGTTTACTAAAGGATTCCCTTGCAAAATGTTTCTCAACTTTTCCAGAACTTTTAGTCCACTAACCACTCCCTCCATTCAGTTCCTCTCAGCCCTTGTCTTGATTTTCTTCTTTGTCCATTACAAATATGTATATAAATATCTAAAACTTCCTTTGTCACATTCCCTTCTGGCACCATCTCTCTGGTTATTCTCTGACCATCATTAAGCTATTCATCTTTTCTCTGTGTGTACTGAGTGCCTGAATATTACTGAGGAAAACTATAGTGGATCAAGAATCTGTAGTAGATACTAAGCTTCACTGGTCTCAATTCTCTCACCCTACCTGGCAGTCATACTTGTTTTGTTCAATCACTGTCTGCAGTCCTGTTTTCTGCATTAATGATATCCATCTTTTCTACTTTCAATCTGATCTCTTTGTTTCTTCATTGTCTGAAAAACACCTTACCTCAAATTTCATGAATTTACTGAGAAACTAATGAAACCTAACCAGTCATCCTAAGGCACTGAATCTAATTTTTAAAAATAATATACCATAGTTCTTAAAAACAGTATCATCAAATATATGTGCTTTAGACTCCACAGCCTGGATCCGTTCCTAACTCAACTGTGTTTATTATATTTGACTCTTCAGATAATAGAGGAATATTCAATCTAATATCAACAGGCTATTTATATGTTCTCAGAATCTCATTCCTTCATGCTTTCACTTAGACCTTACTGTACCTACTATCTTGTGGGTAGTTTTTTGTTGCTGTTCTTGTTATTTTGTGTCTTCAGCTTTTCCCTCTTAACGTGTCTTCCTCACTGATATTTAGACGTGGTCTGATATTGCATGTTTTTAAAAAACTTTTCCCTTCACACACTCTTTCCCATTAATCCCATTTATAAAGTTAAGCCCCTCTGAAGAGAGGTTTGATTTCACCTGCTAACTCTCCATTTATCCAAACCATCCCACTTTTGCTTCTGGCCCAGACTGCTTCTAAAAGGAATCTTTTTAAGGTTGTTGTATTGATTTTACACGTGTTCAGGTTCATTGGATCCCTCTTGTCTCTCATATTGAACTCTTATCGACTATTAATTCTACTGACTACTCATTCCTCTTCTCCCTTTTTTTCTATTGTTTTCATAAAAATACTTGTTTGACTTCTGTGGCACCATATTTTGCTGGCTTTTTAAAAATTTCTGTGTGCGCACTTCTTAGAAGTTATATTTATAGTCTCTTATATCTAAGGCAGGACATCTTTGGGACTCAGCTTAGGGCCTCTTCCTCACCCTGATAATTCCCTAGGCAGTCTCATTTACTCCCTCGATTTCGTGCTCTCAGCAAGCCAGCAACTCTCTCAATTATGACTTTGGACCAGAAGATTAATCTTACAGGCTCACATAGCCAACTATCTTCTCTGCTTAAAATCTCTTGGGGCATTCTAAAACAATGATGGCCGTTACTACCTTAAAACCAAAGGAAAAAAAATCCACTGCGCTTTCTTCAGTGGTGTCCCTTTCAGTACACAAACACCAATCTAATTGTTGATGCTTGACATCCAAGTCTCATTCTTGATACCTTCCTTACTCTTCTGTCCTCCATCCTGCCTAGGAGCCAGTCAGTCAGGTCTTGCTGGGTTCCCTTCTTGTATATATGCATCAGTGTGTCCATGGGTAAATTCATCTGCTTTCGTACACTTTTACTAGTAACACCCCCATGCTACTTTTATTTCTAGATGGATTCGGTAATAATCTCCCAGTAGTCTACTGCTCACTTAACACAGAAGGATGTTTTTAAGACGTAAATCTGATCTTGTTATTCCTAGATTTAACAATTCAATGACTTTCTATTATACTCAGAATATACTGGAAAAAAATCTTAAAAGAAAATCTTTTTCTAAAATCTTAAAAAATCTGTTAGACTTAGTAGATTTTGACCCAACTACCTGACTTTTCATTGTCATCTCCCCATTGCGTCCCCAAGCTCTACTGTCCTCTTCTTAATTCTTCAAACATGCCAAGTTCTCTGCAGCTTTAAACTCTTACATGTGCTCTTCCTCGGCCAAGAATCCTCCATAGGTCCCTGACACTGGCCTGGCTAAGTCCCACTCACTGTCCAAGTCTCAGCACAAATGTTCTTTTGCTATGGAAGTCTTGTCTGTTCTACTCTCCAGCCCTAAAGACTGTAGAAGCTCATCTTTTTTGACTCTCTCACAGCAGTCTGTCTCACCACACATTTTATAGCACTTAAAACAACAAACATTATTTGTTCAGAGTTATATGTGCAATTAATGTGTATAATGTCTTTCTTTCAAAGAGGCTGAGAGTTTCCTCAGCGCAGGGACCGTATTTCTTTTGTTCACTGTTCTACATATTCTCACTGTTTAGCACAGTATCTTGCCTTTAGAAGGTACTCTTTGAAAGAGTAAATTAATAAATAAAAATATATGTGTATGTATACATATATACACATACATATATATATATAATTGCACAAACACTGTGTATGTGTGTGTGCATGTGTGTGAATTGAATATCTCTGGCTAGATGTGAATGTACATATGTACATGTATAAACCAACAGGAAAATTACCCAAACTCACCACTCCCTGGAACATAATCAGTCTGAGTTAAACAGTTTTGAGGTTCAAGAGGTAATTCATATATAGTTAGTAGCTAAAAGGCCACATTGAGGAATAATAATTTAATTAATTTTCCCCCCTCCTATAGGTAAAAAATTTGAAAATACTGAAATGTTTGGTCAGTACCCACTTCAGGTCAATGGATTCAAAGATCTACATGAGTGCCTAGAAGCTGCTATGATTGAAGGAGAAATTGAATCTTTACATTCAGAGAATTCAGGAAAATCAGGCCAAGAGGTGAGTTTAGCATTTACATTTTTCCTCCCCTTCAGGTCTGCCCGACAGTGCTGTAAAGCGCAATTTAAGGCCCTATTTCTGTAGCTACCTAATAATTGAGAGAGAATACTCTGAATATATGTTTGCACTTAATGATGGTAATTTAGACACATTTGGGAACCTTCACAGTTAATATAGTTTATAATCTATATTAAATTGTCACGTAAAAAAGTGTTCTCAAAATTTTCTGTTAAAATTTCCCTTTAGGACATTTTTCAGTCTTTAGACTTTTTAGTTGAGGTGCCAGTCATTATAACACACTAGTTCTGGAAGTAAAGAAGAAAAACACTACAAGAACAAATATAAAGGACACATGGACAAAAACTAGGGGATGTGGAAATGAAAGGGAGGTGGAGAGGGATGCATGAGTGGGCAGTGGGCTGGGATGGGAGTAAACGAGAGAAAACTATACTTGAACAATGATTAAAATAAAATTAGAGAAAAAAATAATAAATAAAAAATAATGTGCCATAGTAAAACACTTAAAATAAAATACAAGAAAAAACAAAAAAACAAACCAACAACAAAAAAAACACCCCACTGATATTAGGGTAGAATTCTATGTAGATATATGTTACTTATATTAAATATTGTTGGAATTTGTCCAGGCCTAGATAGGCAACACCAGAGCCCTTTTCTTGTAAAATTGCTAGGTAATTATATGAAAGGCAGATGGATGAACTTACTTTCTACAAAAAGAAATAATTTGCAAACTATTAATACCTTTTGCCTGTTTACCTGTGTCCACTGGTCTGTTCTTGCACCCAACTCTATCTCTTCAGCTCCATCTGTATGCCCATCTACCCATTCATGTGTTTATCCATCGGGGAGTGGTAGCACAGTAGAAAGCAAAGGACAATGGGTCTCTAAAATCATCGTTAAGCAGTTGTGGGTGGTTGTCTCTTTGTAAGCTCCAAGCTTGAGGACAGGATCTTCATCTGCTCCTTTCACTTCTGTGTCCCTAGTGGATAGTACAATAACTGCAAATACGATTGTGTGACACATTTATTGACTGAATGAATGAAAACCTTAGTGTTATCAAGAAAAAATTCTGAGGTCTTTATCTCTGAATAGGTGCTTAATAAATATTAAGTGGTGCTATCTCTGTGTTGCTTATGTAAAAAGGGACTGGATTCTTGTATCTTGGGAATATATTGATTTAATCTGAATTGTGTGATTTTTTTCAAAGATACAATTAACCATTTTTTGTTCTAAAGCTTTTTCTTCGCTCAAATACCCACACAAAAACAGAAATAAATAATATTTATTATTTTTTTATGAAGAAAAGAAGAAGAATATATGAAATAATTTTTTTCTCTACATCACAGATTGTCCACTTCAGGAATTTTCAGCAGAATGCCTAGGCCCCACTGCAAAGCTGTCAGATCAGAGCCTAGGGTAGGGATGTGATACATTGCACAAGAGCTCTGCAAGTTATTCTGATACAGACCTGTGACTAAGAATATTTAAATAAAGCTTATTTATTTTGATTGGGGAAACAGATCTCCTAGGATTTTGACTTTCCCAGGATCCCATAAGGGGACAAGAAAGCAGGCATCCTTAAGTGTGATCTGCTTTCTATTATTAAGTAAAACGATGATGGATGGACAGGTTCAGGCCAAGAAAGGTGGGATGGCATATTCCTTACTTTGTCAAAGTAGCTTGTAAGCTAAATACTCTATATTTTATTGGTAAGTAATCTTTGTGACACACTCCAAGCTTTTAAAAATGCTTTTCTTACATTGAACTTGAATGTAATTATTTTTAAAAATCTAGTTTGTCCTTCCCCTTTGCCTCATAATCTAATGCCTTATATTGCGCTACATGCTTTCTGCCTAGGCTTTTCCAGCTGACCTATGGAATACAGTGGTTGTCATCATCTCTAAATTCAGCAGTTCTTAAGCAGTCTCAATAATAGCGTATTTAATCACCTGTGATTTCTATTCCCAGTTGCCTAGATTTGCTGAACATAGTAGTTTCAATGATAATTCAACCTGGCTTAAGAGGATCACCAGTGAAAATGGACTATCTTAAAAGTTTTTAATAATATGTTTAAATTATAGTCTTATTTCATTATATCCTTCAGAATAACTCTTTTATTTCTCCTGAGTGTCTACAAAAACCAATGAAAAACATTTTAGGCTTGTTTCTAAAGTGGCATAATCCCTGAAGATAACACCTCTAACACTATTATTTAGTAAAAATTGTTGATTTTATTTTGATACAGAAAATATCTTTTTTACTGAAACAGTTGTGGTCAACTTATAAGGAATACCTTTAGTGTCCAGAATTACCATGTTAAAACATTCAGTGGGCTGTAAGAGTTTTAATTTCTGGAATGACGTAACGGGAGACAACTGAATAAATTAAAAATATTTATATGTAAGATAAATACTCATAAAATATATTTCTAAAATATATTTTTAAGGTAGAAGGGCAAACAGGTAAACACAATTAAATGACAGAAACTGTTTGAATTGGAATAGAAGTTTTTTGATTTTCATCCTTAGTTTACATCTTTGCTTTGTTTGGTGTTCTAGGGGAAATTCAAAATGGCAAGTCTGTTTCCCCCACCCCACCCCACCCCCCGCATAATGTAATCTCACAAAAGCAAGGTTTAAAACATATTAATAGAAAAATTAGCCCTGGCTGGTGTAGCTCAGTGGATTGAGCGTGGGCTGTGAACCAAAAGGTCATCGGTTCAATTCCCAGTCAGGGCACATGCCTGGGTTGCAGACCAGATCCCCAGTGGGGTCCACATGAGAGGCAACCACACATTGATGTTTCTCTCCCTCTCTTTCTCCCTCCCTTCCTCTCTCTCTAAACAAATAAATAACATCTTTTTAAAAAAAGAAAGAAAAGAAAAATTAGCTCTTGCAACTATAAAAATGACTGTATTCTTTCTAGAACACAGATTTATAGCCATGATAAATTTAGAAGCACCTTGGTTGCCAATGCTAATTATGTAATTTTTATTCATGAATTGCATTATTCTATTAGTCCTACAGGTTTATTATATAAATGTAAATATAATAAATATGTTTAGAGATGTGAAGAACATAAACATCATTTTTACCTTTAGTGACCTGTGCCCCACAAGCATCACATACCAGTTATTAAATTGAAGAAGTGAATACAATTTTTTATTGCATGGAAAAATAATATTTCGGAAGAAAAAACTCTCATTGTCTTATTTGATATTCTAGTTATATACTACTGTACTTGGAATCCTAAAGTCACGGAACTATAGATACCCATAACATTTTCTAAAATGAATTTAGGGAATGTCTAGCTATCTCCTCTTTTCTCTGTCAGCTTGAGAATGAGAAAGTGAAATGCTTCTATTTCTTTAATAGGAAAATCTGTCCCTGGTGTTAGAGGAAATGCATTCACAACAAATGCATATTACATAACATCTTATGAACACCCTTTGTTAAGGCATGGAGGCTATTTCCTGGACTTTTTATGGTCTACAGAGAAGCATACTCCCAATTTGGGTCATTTTTATTTCCCTTGGCCCTGGTAGGTTTCCATGAATTAAAGTATATGACCATTTCATTTTAATGGTGGCTTTTAAAGGGTTGGCAGTAAAATATGAAAGTAATAGTTCGTGAAATCTACTTATATACTTGTTTCAGTATCATCAAATGGAATAGAGAATGATATCCTAAGGTTCAAAATATCACATTTCTTTATGATATGTGTGAAGTATGTTTTAATTTCTCTTTTTAAATCCTCAACCAATGAAATGTTTATTGACAGAGAGAAAGAGAGAGAGAGACTTTTGTGAAAGAGAAACATTGCCTCCCATATGCACCCTGACCGGGTATTGAACCCACAACCTTTTTGGTGTACAGGAGGATGCTGTAACCAACTGAGTCACCTGGCCAGGGCTGTTTTAATTCTTAATAGTAGTTTTAGGTGTGGATTAAAGCTAACTAAAATTTTTGCCAGTGCCTTGTGAAGACTAAATAAATAAGCAAATCTGTTCAAGAAATTTTAAAACTTGAGATGTTTCTGATCTTTTATAATTTTCTCTAGTCAACTTCAGATAATACCCATATATAAGATAAAACAAATTCATTAAACTTAAACTTATAGTAGAAGATAATCCAAATCCAGTTCAGGAAATCTCAGTTCAAGTAATCGTTAGCATTTGGGGAGACAGAAATAGCTTTGAATAACCATTTATTTTTATAAGCTGTATTTAGAGAAAAGTAGCAACTCTGAGGTTTTAGTTAAATCCAGTTTGGCAGATATACATCATTCCTGCTTTTTTGGATTTAAATTACTGTACTCAGCTTACTGACATTTGTGTGGTATCATTTTCTGGCACTTGAAAACATTACACATAATTTAGTATGTATCGATTTGTTTTTATAGTAGTAAAAAACTACATTGCATGGCTTATAATAAGCACTTTAAACATACTTGCTGCATTATTTTGCACTTCTGTATTTGTTGATTCACAATTTTGTTCATTTTCTTCCTCTTTAAGTAAATAATGTTTATATAAAACATGAATCTGTTTTATAAAAGTAATTTTTGGAAGTTTTGTTGTATTTCATGCTTAACTGAGCAGTTGTCAAAGTGCGGAGGAGTTAGTCCATGGCAATAAAGCATTTATTTTATTAAATACTAGTCACTTAAAAAGATTTCAAATATAATTACCGTAAGTATGAATTCCATGTTTATTAGTGATAGATCTTTTTCTTAGTCAAAATTCCAGTAGCAAAATTGAATGTAAAACAGTTTCTGCTTTTTAGTATGAGAATTGTGATCATATATGCTATACTTTTTTTCTTTTATGTTACTGCATCTTACAGTTTGTCACAGGTCTTTGACAGTAGGGTTGACTATAATAAGAACAGTGTATCATTCATATTCAGTGATACAATATTAAAGAAGTCAGAAGACTTGAGCTACTAAGTTATGATTTCACCAATACCTTTTTCTTTAGGTTAGATTCTAATGTAAAGAATTATCATGGAAGGACAGTTAGAAGATTTTTCTTTTTCCTGGTTGTATGTTATCCTCATCCTTGAAATTTTCAAGAGATGTGAAAATTTTTAGGGAGAAGTTGAGTTTTATCTAAATGTCATACCTATTCATTTCTTTGTGATGTCAGCATTATGATGACACATTTAAAAGTGCCATTGCTGATGCCCTGCCTGAAATTGGAGTGGAGAAAACAGAAAGGTGATACTAAGGCTTTTAATTATTATTTTCTTTCAGCATTGGTTCACTGAACTACCACCTGTGTTAACATTTGAATTGTCAAGATTTGAATTTAATCAGGCATTGGGAAGACCAGAAAAAATTCACAACAAATTAGAATTTCCTCAAGTTTTATATCTGGACAGGTATGGTTTGGTATACATCATGACTTGGTTTTGAAAGAGTAACCAAGTGAAGAATTACTGTGCTTAAAGAAGAATTTTGCTTAATTTCCTTAGAATTAATCTTTACCTTTTGCATAATATATCAAATAGCATTTGTCAAGAAAAATGTAGTTCTTTTCTACTTAATAAGGTATAGTTACTGTAAATAATGTTATAAGGAAGTTTTTTTTTAATTTAATCTTTTTTAATATATTTTATTGATTATGCTATTATAGTTGACCCATTTCCTCCCTTCACTCCCCTGTACCCTGCCCACCCCCTCCCACCCACATTCCTCCCCTTTAGTTCATGTCCATGTGTCTTAGGAAGTTTTTTAAAAGACTATTTTTTATATCATAATTCTGTCAGAATTTTCAAAAATACTATTTTGTATTGTCTGATATTTTGTTACTTAATTTTGAATGAGTTGATCTTCTGTGGTATTATATCTACTTCCATGACACTTAGAAATACTGATGATTGCTACTTTTCCTGATAGATATATGCACAGAAACAGAGAAATAACAAGAATTAAGAGAGAAGAGATCAAGAGACTGAAAGATTACCTTACAGTGTTACAACAAAGACTAGAAAGGTATTATAAACTTTACAGAATTATAAGCCAACTATAAAAATTCATTTTTTAGAGATTATCTAGAATCTTTATTTTACATTTTTCTTGAGTAATATATGATTCTGGGAGTTGATAATCATTCTGAACAGATATATTTACTAATATAGTTTAGTTTTGAATTGTTACAAACTTAAAATAATTTATAGTTGGCCTTAGAAGATTATTTTAGTATTTAAAATTAAATATTGTCACCGACAACAAATAAAGCTTATGGTGCTAAAAATAGCTATAAAGACAAACTAATTTACAATTGAGGTTTATTCTTTCATGAGACTAATTTGACACTTGAAATTTTCATTATGACAAGGGGTGACTGAGTTTTTCTTCTTGACACAGAAGATACAAAGTCAAAGGCCTAGCGGGCCTCATCGAGTTTTTATAAAGAATGGAACCAAGTCAAATATAAGTGGTGGGCGAGGAGCACCTAGAGAGCAGCTGATGGAGAGGGAGCGGCTGCCATCAACACTAGCGGGTGGTGTCTTACAAATATCATCTCAAGATCATCTAGCGTGTCAGAGTGTTTCCAAAAGAAGCCAAAATCTAGGCTGATGTTCTATATTGTATATTACAAATCCACAGGCTGAAATGTGGCCTGAGAGATGCCAGTTTGCAACCTCTGCTCTAATCTTTGTTCCCTTGTTTTACTGTTAATTTGAAAATTAATACCCTAAAACATTTTTGTAGAAAAATAATGTATATTTCAATAAGTATTTTTCTTGAAAGGTATGTGTAATTATATTGAAATATAATCAGACGTAAAAAAAGGAGGAAGATAATATTAGTCACCATGAAACCAGATGACAGATCTAAAAATAAAAATAGTCTCAAGGGATGAAACTGTCAGTTTTCATTTTCCTATTGGGTTACAAGTTAGAGCAGCCATTTAAAATTTGGTAAAGTGTATACACACATTCAGTCTTAATCAGCTTTGAGTCCTTTTCTTTGGAGACCATTTAATTTATTTCTTAAACGTGTTTTTAGTCTTACTGTCTTCATCTGGTCATTAATTTTATTGTTAAGAAAGATTCATTGAAGTATGTGTGTCATGTTTTATAAAAAACATTTAAAAAACAAATTTGCTTTAAATATAAATTAAAGCATTCATACATTTTATGGTTAACAGATATTTAAGCTATGGTTCAGGTCCCAAACGATTTCCATTGGTAGATGTCCTACAGTATGCGTTGGAATTTGCCTCAAGTAAACCTGTTTGCACTTCTCCTGTTGAAGATATTGATGCTAGTTCCCCATCTAGTGGTCCCATTCCATCACAGGCATTACCAAGGTAAAAAGTCTTTTTGGAACAAAATACAGCTGTGCAATCTGTATTACATAATGATGTCATTGATGCCTTTTGAAGAAGGTTTTATATGCATGTTGTGATTGATTTTAATGAACCCTAAAAAGATTAGATACACTTAGAACATTGTGCCTTCTGTGTGCTTTCTTATTTCATCGTTTTAATAGATTTTCTGGTTATGGATTGAATTTTTCATATTTTTTCTGTTCAGAGTTATACTTGAGGTTGTTTTAGTATGTTATCTGTTTCAACCTTTTGTCCAGAATAATATTGTTAAATTAGAATTTTCTTCTGTAATGTAGGCTGGTAAGTGTTAGCAAGGGAAGGTCTTGGTAATTTTGGTACACATAAGATTTGTTGTCATTTTTTAAGTAAATAAGATCAAGTGATTTTTACTATAAAGCCACAGTTTCTTACATGTAATAAAGTAGTCTTTGTATATTAAGGATATCATTAGGATATTAAATTAATCCACATCTCTATTTTGAAGATCTTTTCTTTTTGAAATTATAAGCCAGTTTAATGCAGTGTATTAGGCACAGTCTTTGTCCAGAGCTTCAGTTTGGAAAATTTAATATTTTCTGCTTTAAAAATACAGCACAACAGAACAACAGGGAGCTCCTTCTTCAGAATTGCCAAGCACATCACCGGCATCAGTAGGTGCCATGTCATCGAGATTGGTAATTCACAAACCGTTCACTCAGTCTCGGATACCTCCAGACTTGCCCATGCATCCAGCACCAAGGCACATTACAGAAGAAGAACTTTCTGTGCTAGAAAGCTGTTTACATCGCTGGAGGACAGAAATAGAAAATGACACCAGAGGTAAAAAGGTTTTCGTAGCGTAGTCACCATTGCCTCATGGATATGTATAAAGATACATTTGAAAATGGAAATTGCTCTGGATTATATATGTAAATATTATAAAGTATTTTCTTCTAGAAAGGGTTTTCTAAAAGATAAACTAGTCTGGCTTCCTATTTTTACAATCTTAATATCAGGTTCAGAGAGACTTAAAGGTTCTCCCTGGATTACTTAGCTGATTAATGCCATAACAGATGGTCTGATTTTCTCGTTTAGTGCTCTAAATTTATATCAAATGGATATTCACAGCTACTCCATTGGTGAAACATCATACAACATCATATCTTGTACATATAAATTATGTCTACCCTGATGTTTACACAGTGCGTTTAAGTGATAAAAATGTTCTTTAGGCCTAAAAATCATAAAAGTGAATTTTAATTTTTAGTGTACTCTAATGAGATTTCCAACTATGAGCAGTGTGCCAGCCTGTGATGAGTTTTAACTGGCATGTAGCAAAGAAAAAGGACAGTGCCCTATGGGGGAGGGGGCTGCGCATGTGTGGGCTGGTGTTAAGTTGCCATCTGTCCTTTCTTGGAAAGAACTCTCCTTTATTCTGAAGTGATCTCCTTCCTACTTCACTATTGTTCAGATGGGTTTTTTTTTTTAAATGAAGTGATGTTAATATTTTATGGTAGGTTTTATTGTAATTTTTTCTTACATATCAAAAATATAATACCCTATTACTGCCCCCAGTTTTATCCTAATACTAGGATTTTTAAAATTAAAGATTTAAATTTAAAAATAGCTACTGTTAGAACTATATTAAACAATATCAATTATTACATTTGTGTGCCCCACTTGGTGCTTTATAGACAATATGTAAATACAGAACAGTCCTAATTTAATAGTGAACAAATAGGATACAGTGATGACTAACAGCATTAGTAACTGTAAAGATTTCTCTTAGTATTTTTCATATATAAGTGATTTTTATATTTAAATTTAGTAGCATAATAATTAAGCACATAGGTTTCCCTGAACACTGTGCTAGTAGGTTTGGCATAATTTTCTACTGGACTTGGATTGTGTTTGTTTTACAAGATTACATTCAGAAGGTGCAAGCTAGGAAGCTTTTGACACCAAGGTAGCAGCACTAAGGCAGGAAAGAAATGAACAGATTTGAAATAGTCTTTGGAGACTACTGACAGTAGTAGACCATTGATGAGGGGTGAGTGGCAGAAATCAAGGATGATTTTCATAGTCATTCATAATGGTGTGAATAACTAAATAGATAGAATGCACTTTAGAAAACGGCAGACTGGTGGGTGAGCAGGTCTCCACCTCCAGGGAGGAAGTAGGAATATGATGAGTCCACTCTTGGCCATTTTAAATGCTTGAGGAGCTTGGGAGACATTCATGTGATAAGATTTGGACCTATAATAATACAGATCAGGTAAGAAGATTTTCCAGGACTCTTTACTCTTTTATTTATCCCTGTTAATATTAGTTGTTAGCATTATTTTTTAAACCATTGTGTAGTATTCCGACACATGAGCATGTTGTAATTTATTTAATATTTCTGTTGATACTGCAAATAGTGCTGGCCTTCTGTGTTCATGTTTATGCACTTTCATTAGTATTATATATTCTTAAAAGTGCCATTTCTGTTCAAAGTGTATATAATTTTAAATTTGACTATTTTAAAATTTTCCCCCCAAAATATTGAACCAGTTTACATTTCTAATGATGTGAGAGAGCTTGTCTCTCAACTTCCTTCCTAGCCCTGGGCACTTTTTCGTCTGGTAGCCTGTTAGTTGGGGGAAGAAATGGTATTTTGGTGTTTTACATTTCCTTAACTATGAGTGCAGCTTTATTTTTCTGTAAATTTTAGTGACATCTTCCCGTTTTTATATAGAACCATTTGTCTTTGTCTTTCTCTTACTGCTTAATAGAAACTGATGTTTACAGGTATCAACTTGGTGCCTGAAGTGTGTGCTGCAGATATTGTTTCCCCTGCTTGTCTCTGTCATTTGACTTCCTTTATGTTGGCTTTGCTTTTTTTTTAAATGGAGATTTTCTTAAGTTTGGGGAGGGAGTCTTATCTTTTCCTTTGTGGTTCCTTGATTTTCTGTCAGGATTAGGAATGCCTTTTCCCACTCTGAAGTTACTAATATTTTTTTGTAGTCTTTTATGGTTTGTTCCTGATTCTTTCCAACAGATTCAGACTGTAAGTCTAGTTATGCCATTATACTATAATTAACCATTTTCCTATTGATAGATATTAAGGTTGTCTCTAGTTTTTTTAATTATATGGACAGTGTAAACTGTGAACATCCCTGTATCTGAATAATTTTGTAGGATAGATTACTACTGGATATATAAATAATGAGTAATGGGATTCTCAGAATTTATTTCCATTGGTGATTATAGTGGATTTTTATTCAATTATGTGTCTGTATAGGATAAGTGGTAAAGTTATTTTATTTAAGTTTAAAGTTTTTCTGTTTTATATAAATAGGTAAGGGGTTTTAGTTTTAATTTTCATTGAAACCGTTTTTATGTATATGAATGAGGTTTAGTTTTACTGGTTCTGCACATTTTCTAAAACAAACATTGTTTTCTTAACTATGAACTTGTGCTGTATCTTTTATTAAGGAGAACTATACATATTTATTTTTATACAGACTCCAAATAATAGTGATTTACTGTTTTAGGATTTTTTTTTTATTCTCTTAACATAATGGTAGGAAAACCTTTCATCTCTGCCTTACGAATCTCACTAGAAACATACTTGATCTTAATCAGTAAATGACATCTTCTGTCCTTAGATTTGCAGGAAAGCATATCCAGAATCCATCGAACAATTGAGCTAATGTACTCTGACAAATCTATGATCCAAGTAAGTTAAACTTTGAACTAGTAAGCATTATAAAAATTATTTACATATTTTTATTTATCTTTATCTTAACCAAATTTTTCTTAGATGTTTTGTGATAAAATTGCTGAACTTAAGCCGTATTAGTATTTCCCCAATCATATTATATTCTTATACTGCATTTATTGCTTACTCTTTTTATTACTTTATAATAAAATTTATCAGAATTTTCTTTAATATTTAAAATAAAATCACAAGAATTATAAAATTATTTAAAGATATTAAGATTATGGGAAATAGTATAGGGCACAATTACATTTTAAGTTCTGGTATACTATAATAAGCCACTTTAAAATTCAGCCATCAGTTTATAATTGTGAAGATTTAGAGAAATTATTTGCTACATGTAAAAGTATTCATAAGTTCTTTGTTCAGAAGTAATAACTGAAATAAATCAACAAATACATGATCAATATTTTGAAAATCATCCTGTTTACACACCTGTCTGCTTTCCATGTCTTTAGTTTATCTTCTCCTTCTTTTATTATTTCATTTTTTTCAAACTTTTAATCTCAGCCCATTTTCTCTTGATAAGAAATACATACTCCTATGGTGTCCTCTAGTAACATGGTTTGTGGGTTTCATGGAATGTGGTACAATAGAGTACTAGACTGCCATTTAAATCCCTTCTGTTTTCATATTCAGGTTCCTTATCGCTTACATGCTGTTTTGGTTCATGAAGGCCAAGCTAATGCCGGGCACTACTGGGCATACATCTTTGATCATCGTGAAAATAGGTGGATGAAGTACAATGATATTGCTGTGACAAAATCATCATGGGAAGAGCTAGTGAGGGACTCTTTTGGTGGTTATAGAAATGCCAGCGCATACTGTTTAATGTACATAAATGATAAGGCACAATTCTTAATACAAGGTAAGAATATGAAATATATAGGGTGCTATACATTTTTAAATAAGTAGCCCTTTTGTGTGACTCCGGTCTCTGGCATAGTAAGGTATAATTCACCCAGAGGGTGATGGATATGATCAGAAAGTACTGTTGGGTTATTGTGAGTAAACTGGAATGAAAAAGTAATTGTGACTAGGGCTGAAAATTGGAATATATTTTGCATTCAAAGTAAACTACTTCTTAACTATTAAAAAACGTAAATCTCATGGGTTTCTCCTTTCTCAAAATCCTTTAATGACTATATCACACTTTGACTCGTGTTCAGGTTCCTTGCCTGATTTACAAGACCTCCATTTTCTGGCCCCTGATGGTCTCTCCAGCCTCATTTGTGATCATTGTCCATTTCAAACTGACATTTGAAATTCTCGTTGCATTCTGCTCACACCAAATCACTTCATTCATACATTTATGCATATATGTTCTTATGTTTTTATTTTTATTTTTTGCCAGTAATGTTCTTATTTCTTCTTTTGCCTGACTCCTCCTCATCTGTCAAGATTCAACTTAAGTGTCATTTGCTCTGCCAAGTTTTCTTTATCTGCCCAAAAGCAACCATCCTTGTGTCCTTGTGATGTGCCTCTGTCAGGCCCCTGCTGTGTGTTGGAATTGTGTGCTGTCTGTTCTTTCCCTCTTCACTTTTATCTGCTCAAAGCTAGGAACCATGTCATAACATGTCTTAATCTTTTTTAATTTTTACATTCTAATATATGTTTTCCATGTAGAAAATACTTAATAAAGTTTTGTCAAAACTGATAAAATCAACTTTCCTTTTGTATTTGATCATTCAGCAAAACTAGCTAGGCAATCCACTTGTGACTGAAAGCCAAAATTTATTTTGTGTGTATGGAATAGAAGTTGAGTAACTCTTTGAAATGATATTTATGCTGTGCTTTAAAAAATCTTATGTTGATTATTTTTCAAATTGCATATTGCTATACTTAACTGCCTCAGATGAAAAAGAATTTTTAGTTCTAATTTGAGCTTAATAAGTTCATGAATTATTTCTTCTCATTTTGTGATAGGTTTTACTTCATGAATAATTAGAAATCTGGTATTTTAACAGATAAAGTAGTACTACGTCAGTGTTTGAGTAACAATTTTGGCTTTATATCTTGTTGTATTTTTTTACTATTCAGATTAAAAATGAAATCTGAGACCATTACGTATAATGGAGTATGAACTATTTGCATCATAGTTTTTCTGAGCATTTGAGTTCTCTTTTAATTTTTAGGTAATAATTAATTTGCTAAATGGTAATAATTCGCACTTGAAATCCCATTTGAAATGCATTCTATTTTGAGCTTTGCATTTTCCATTTAATTCTTAATTTTATATTAGTTTTTGAAATATAATTTGCAGAGGAGTTTAATAAAGAAACTGGGCAGGCCCTTGTTGGAATAGAAACATTACCGCCAGATTTAAGAGATTTCGTTGAGGAAGATAACCAGCGATTTGAAAAAGAACTGGAGGAATGGGATGCACAACTTGCCCAGAAGGCTTTGCAGGAAAAACTCTTAGCATCTCAGAAACTGAGGGATTCGGAGCCTTCTGTAACAACAGGTTAGTTCATTTTATTAAATTGTGTTTTATTTCCAGTAACATTTATTATCGATATTTTATTAAAAATAAGATGCTTGTTGAGTAAAAAACAACCTTTATCTTAAAAGTATAAGGAGCTAGTAAAAATGATCTGAAACTCCATCACTCAGAGATACCCACAGGTCATAATTTAGTTTACCCGTTTGTGAGACACCACCATGCACCTAGACAGTTAGTTGATCCTTCAACCAGGTAGGGTGGGGTGCCAACTGCCTCTGCAGGAGAAAATCCTCATATGCTCTTATAGCTTTTTCATGTTAAAAGAGGTGATTCTGCAGACTCTTCCCTCTTCCTACCCTGTCTCTGTAATTGGGCTTGATCCTTCTTGGCAGGAAGCATGAAAAAGCTGTTGGAACCAAAATTAACACAAACCAGTTTATTAAAACTGTCAATAAAATGAACTCTAGTGATTTTATATTTGGGCAAAGTAACACTACTCCATATATATTTTGAGTATACTTAAACAAAATATATATACTTGTTTCATAATTCTTAAATCAAAATTAGCCAAAGGTAAATATTTTTTCAGTATAAGTGTGTATAGACCTATAAAACAAAAACCAATAAATGTATAAAAATACACTTTAAAATAGCATTTTAAAATTAGCTGATGAAATCAATAAAATATTTAGTGTAAACACTATACAAAAATAAAGAAAATATGTTCTAGCAAAATTGAAAATAGAATGTATTCTGACTTTTTTTAAGATTGATTTCATCATCACTGAATTATATGTTTTAGGACAACATATTTCCTACTGTAGAAAAAGTGCTATTTCTCTAGTAGTTTGGAAATGAGAAGAGATAAACACATTTTTTTCACACTCATTTGTCTCTTTTTTTATAACTCTGAATGGATCTTTTTGAATGACCTTTATTTTTTTTTTGCAAGGTCTGCATGTTTAGTTTTTAGTTGTTTATTAATTGTTTTAGGTATTTGTTTAATTTCTTTTACAGACAGATTCCCATTCAGCATTATCTAGGTGGGTTTTAGCATTGTCTTTTGAACTTTAGAAGGCATTATTCTTTCAGTGGGAGATTCACAATACCACAGTAGCCCTTGTGACCAATACAGGTACGCATGGCTCTATTCCGACTTGTAACTTATTATATAAATTGAGTAATTGAGTCTTTGGTATTAAGAGGCACTGATTTAGAACTTTTAAAAGACCAAGATAACGGTATAATAGCAGCAAAGATAATAACGTTTGGTATGTAAATGCAGCACAGAATATCTGAACAGGTCTTTCATCCGGCGAACTCTCCCATCTTGAGCAAGACTGCGCTTTCTTTCCAAGCATCAAGTGCCACTGTGTGGACCAGGTTTTGCAACAACTCAGTGTAATTACAGTGATTTTGTCCACTTTGGTAGGAAATGACATAGCTCAGCAGCTATCGAGAGGCTTCTGTGTTCAAATCACAGTGTAGAACCACATTGTATTTTATTTCAATTTCAGGCAATTCCTTCCCTTCGTGACTTCCTTCCTTGCCTTCTCTACCTACCCTTCCCAAGTCACTCTCCTGAAATTGCACAAGGCATAGGTACTGTGTTGTTCTTCCCTTAACTTTTCCATACTCCCTTTGCATCGGGCTATTCTCATTAGTCATGGAATAATGGAGCTGCATAATTGGCATAAGTGGTGGTGGTACTTAAGGACTCAGATAAAGGTAAATCCTCCATTTATTGGTTAAGCTGAAACTCTATTCTTGGTTTACCTATACTTTATGGAACAAAAAATATTAAATTCTGTAGTCTTTTTCATTTGGCGTATTTCTCACAAGACTCTCTAAATTTACAGACTTAACACATTTTATTTCTACCAAGTCAAGCTAATACATATTTCCACACAAGTGGACAATATTAATTCCTATCAGACAGGGCTCGCCAACTTTGCCCCAGCATTTATGTTTTTCACCTTCTGTTTTCTCTGAATAGAAGAACTGTTTTCTTGATTAGTGCATTCTACCATACATTTCATATGCTGTTTTGTAATTTTGAAAAATTAGTAGTAGGTATCTTTATATATTTTTATTTTTCTCCTTTTAGTATTAAAAAAAACTTGAAAAAATGCAAATATTTCAGAGAGGAGCTAGAATAACTAAAAAATAAGGAGACTGAAATGGTCAGTTCACATATAACTGTTCCAGACTGGGTTTTTAGAAAGCAGTGGCAATACTGTCTTAATAGGAAACATTGTGTCCCCCGTGGAAATGCTAGAAATATGCAATTTGTTTGAATTAATGGAAAGGAATGTGCTAACCATCAATTTGGGATGTGAGATTATTGTTTAAAAGATTGGTTTCTGTTAACTATTTAATCTTACATATCACACTAAGAAATTCATCCTGTGTTGCAGAGGAATTTAAGATATCACAGTTGAATAAAGAAATTATTACAATGTTTTTGGAACCACTTATCTACTATTTTTAGTAGACAAACTTTACTTTAATGACCATGTCATCTTTTCCCTATTTCTACTCACAGTTTTTTGACTAATTTTTTTAATTTTATATATTACTTTCAGAATATCAAAGAAAACCTGTATTTAAGGTCTCTTGGGTGTGCCCTAGGATTATGAGTGACTAGTGAAGTTATACAAGAAAATTATGCTGATAAAATCCATCAGAGTGATTTTCTTCCCTCTCTACAAATGTTCTTAGTAAAAGTGTAACCTAAGAGCTATTAAAATCCAATTTCTTCTGAGTGATATTCCAATAAGAATATAACTTACATAGTATTGATTAAGTCAGTATTTTGTTCCTCTTCTGCTAACATGTGAAATCCATAAGCATCACTTCTCTAGTATCATTCATATTCTTATTGCAACAACGTAGTAAATGATGGGAAAGTATTATTTGATTTATCTCATGCTACCTCCCTAACCAGCTCACTGCGAAGGACAGCTTACCTGGACCTTTGTGTTTGGAGATACAGCCAAAGTTCCTTGTTATAGTTATATGCATCAGAATTGCCTGGGGATATTTTTCTGAGTATAAATAGCATAACCCACCTAATACTTATACTTATCCCAGATTTAGGGATAAGTCTGATCCCTAAGACGTATTGGAATCAGAATCTCTGAAGGAAGGATCCAGAATATATATAGTTTTTTATAAGATCCTCAGATGAGTCAAGGTGTACCACAGATTAAGGCCATCAACTATATTTATAAAGAAATTAATATGAAGGAGAGAAGAGCTATGCCTGAATTATTATTTTACTTGTGTTAACTCCTATTTTACTAAAAAATATATTTGAACAACATATATAGCATACTCAAATTTAATTTTAAAAATGAAACAAAAAAAGACCGTAAAAATGGATAACATTGTATGAAATGCATACCGTAAGATTTCATAAATTTGTCTAGCAGTGTCATGCACAATTAGCCATGGGACTTTCCTACAAATAATTATCTAAAAATTAAAAGTAAGCAAATGTCCCAGGAAAATCCAGCTTATTTCTAAGAGTAAGACCTGGTACAAGGAGCAGTGTTCTTAGTATTCTCACATCCTTTAAACTGGGACTGTGTGATGTTCCTATTTAAATCTTTAGAATCTAGCACAATAATGACATATAGTAAATGCCCTTCCCATGTTTTTTTAATTAAATTCATTGTCTATGGAGATTTCAGTAATGAGTTTCCTCAGGATGATCCTCAGTATATGGGAATGCCAACATTTTATACATATAGCCAAAATTATTATACATTGGGGAAGTAGGCTAAAAATGTGTGGTGTAGATATAGCTCTGTCCTGGGTAAATTTTAGGTTTAACTAGTTTTTAAGCCTCTAAACCAACCCCTCTTGGAGATATCAAGTTGTAATTGTTTTTCATCTGACAACACTCAGCTACCTGGGGCAGATTCAGAAAAGAGAAGAGGTTGGTTTCATTCAGGGTCAGGGATTTTTGTCAGGTAGGCATGGAAAAGGATGCTGTGGCCAGAAGAACAACTAGTTTGCTCTCTTTGGAAACCTAGTCCAGGATTGTCATACAAACCAAATCCATGGGGTTTTTTTCTTTTGGTAGAATGCTAATGGTTTTCCAAAATGAGATTTCCATACTTATGCAATAAAAATTTACTATGAATTCTGTATTATAAACTATAATGGGTACTTTCTTCAGTAATTCTTTATTACTTTTGGATTCTTTTTTTTTTTTTGTAAAATCTGGAGGAAGTGCTGTGTGCTGAAGAATATATCACTTTCTGTAGAATAGTAAAATTGATTTATTGCCTAACTTTGAACGAGAAGTAAATACTAGAGTCATCGTAGTATAGATACTCTGATTTTATTAGCCATACAATTGATTCTTTTCTCATGAAGGACAAGCAGGTGAACCAGAATATCTAGAGCAGCCATCAAGAAGTGATTTCTCAAAGCACTTGAAGGAAGAAACTATTCAAGTAATTACCAAGGCATCAAATGATCATGAAGATAAAAGTCCTGAAACAGTTTTGCAGTCGGTAAGAACTTTTCTTTCAGCCTCAGATAGTAGCCTTGTGCACGAAAGCCCCCCCCCCCCCACCATGGTGGAGACTGTGGAGGAGATGGACCAGGAGTCGGGCGAAGGGGCCGAGGGCAGGCTCCTCTATCCGCACGAACAGTGACTGGGTGTCACCCGACTCCCAGGCTGTTGTTTTCTCAGCTGTAATTTAAAAAACGATTCTTTTTAAAAATGAGTTTCTATCTTCCTGTTACAGGATTATGGAAAATTACAATCCTAGACTAAATGGGTCATTTGGGAACTTAAAAAGAGAACCAGAATATTAGCATTACAAGTTGACCCTTGCACAGCTTTGGGGTTAGGGCCACCAGCCCTCCGAGCAGTTAAAAATCCACATATAACTAACTTTTGACTCCTCACAAGCCTAACTGGTAATATACATAGTCAATTAACAAATATTTCATATGTTATATGATTATATGCTATATTCTTACAATAAAATACACTAGAGAAAAGAAAACACTATTGAGAAAATAATAAGGAAGAGAAACTACATTTACAGTATTTGTTGAAAAACAATCCACGTGTAAGTGGACCTGGACAGGTCAAAGCCATGTTGTTCAAGGGCCAACTGTATTTCTCCTGTCCCTCAGGCCTCCCTCCATCTCTAGTCTTACTACATTGGAGTAGCTGGGAATAGGGTATAATGTTGCATGCAATGTGTTTAGCAATAAAATACTAGATACCCTAGGTTAGAGTAGTATTAGGATAAATATCTTGCAATATGATTTATGCATATTTCAATAGTATCAAATTCAAACATTGTCATAATTGCCATTGTAAATCTGTTGGTAATTCTCAGTTGTGTGTTTTTATAACAGTAAATTGAGCACATCTGTACTGCACTATGTTTTCAATGAATATGACATTCTGGGAGATGTTATTTCAAGAATATGGTATTAAAAAGCCTTTAGTTGCTGGAGACTTATTTTATTAGCACAAGCAGCTCTAATGCAGGTTTCACGATAGCTGCAGATACTTTAGTATTTGGAGATTCCCCTTCTAGAGAACTAAAGAGAACAGGAGGTACAATTTTTTACAGTTTTCTACTTAATATGTGAACTTAATTCAAACAATAACCTGCTAAATGCACTGAGGTCTTTAATATAAGACCTCAAGTAACCAAAATGTCCAATTAATAGGGTATTGTGTTATGTTTTGATGAATGAAATAATCAGAATTACTTTTCTTCATTTTTCTGTTTGAGTAACTTGGATTATATATCATCTTGCTATAAAAAAGTGTATTAATAAAGTTTTTTTGACCTATCCAAATTTTGCAAATGCTGTATAGACTCTAAATGAGCTTGAGATGAACACTTGCTAACAATCAAGTGCTTGTTGGAAAATGCTTCTTTCAGTATATCTAGATGTCTGATTCTCAAGGGATGGTAGGATAGGAAAACTGAGGGAGGGAAAGAAGGTGGAGAAGTAGGTAAAAGGTGAAGTATGCAAAGTCCTGCATATTTTTGCAAGAAATAAAAAAATCAATTTTCCAGGGCCTTTGCTAATTAGGATATTAATTTGTTAGGGTTTATGTTCTGGGTAATAAATATAATTCTTTACACTGGGATCAGAAAGCCAAAAAAGCATTACCTAAGTTAACATAGAATCATAACTCTTTGTCGTTTGTTTGTTTGGCTAATCATGTGTAATTTAAATTTACAAAAATCAACACTTAAGTTTTGATTGCATAGTTTATTAATAAGGATATCACCTTATAAGCTAGCAACCTACTGCTTCACCTTTACTTGAGAAAAGAGGATAGCAAGGAGAGAATACAACAGACAGCTAGCATGAATTTTTTTCCATTTGGCTCATCTTCTGTGACAGCACCAACATTTGGCCCTATTGTCTCTATAAACCCTGCATCCTGTCTAAGAATGCATTAATCATGGCTGCCTGAAGCAGCCTGTGTTCTTCGTCTCATGGCCAGGCGCTTAGAATCATGATAACCACTACTGGGTTTTCTCATTTAAAGGTATACTTTAAAAACTAAATTGCATCGATGAAAAGAGTCTTCAAACTTTGAAATTAAGTAGTCCTGATTTTTTAATATTTATTTTACTTCCTATTAGCTATGCAAATTTGAACAAGTTGCTTAATTTCTCTAAACCTCAATTTTCTTTTACATAAAATGGAGGTGATTATGGGATTAATTCAGATCATTTTTTAAAAACGCTTCACATATCGTGTAGGCACTCAGTTGCTATTAGTGTCCTTTTAATGTTTAAATACTAACCATTTCACAAATATGCAATATATTCAGCTCCAACCTTAGTATAAAAAGACATCCCTGGAAAGCTTAGAATTTCAGAAAGTATACAGAGATACTCTTCAAATGTTGAAATAGCTTTCTTTTTAAAGAATGTCCTTAAATTTAAATAAAATATTTTAGGAAACTTGAAATGTACAAAAAGTGGACTCCAAGAAAGAATCATGCATAGTCCCACTATCCAAAGTTTAACACTGTGAATATGTTAGTGTGTTTTCTGTCATTCTTATTTTTATATACAGGTTTGGAAATCATAGTTAAGTTACTACTGCATATAAAATTGCATATCTTAATTTTCTAATCACTTACCATTATAACCTAACCATTTCCCCATGTTATAAACTTTTTAAACAGCATTTAAAGGTTGAGTATTATTCCATTGAGTGATTAAATTCTTGTTTACTTACCTATTCCCTCATTGTGTATTCAGTTCTACTTTTACATTATTTTAAATAGGCTGCTAGAAATGAAACTTTTTTCATATTTTAGGTTATTTCTTTAGCTTCCTCATAGTTGAATTATGGGATAAAAAGTGTGAGCATACTAAGGGGGCCACAAGGGATGCAGTTCTATAGCTTTCTAACCACTCTGTTATGTGACCACTTTTTAAAAAAAAATCATACATTTAATGGATTTCAGGCCCTCAATAAATATCATTGTATTTTAATTATTTTTGCAACTTTTAACTGAGGAACTTATTTTTAGCTCCTTTCAAATTTAGCCTTTGTTAAGGTGTTCTTACAGGCCCTGATAATAATCGAAAAAGATAAATATACATCTACTTTACTTCAGTGAACCCTTAAATTCTCTGTATGAAAATTTTTAGGGTACCTTAGGATATCTAAACTTGAGAACAATACTACAGAATGTTTACATGCACCCAAAGCTTCTTCCAATTTTCAGCTTTCTCCCATGTAATTAATCACTGTTATGCTGTTGAAACTCTTTTGTTTTAACTGGAAAGGTTTATAAAACATTGACTATTTTTCTAAGTGTAATTTTTTGCACAAAGGGAGTGTGTTGTTTTATAAGGCTCAGTACTGTAAGGAATACCTTTCCCAGTTGCTAGTTGCCTTATACTTCTCTTTTCTTAAGATGGTATGTTTTGGATTGCCTTTCTTGTGAGAAATTTTTCATCACAAACTCCAGACAGATTTCTTAATTTACTTGCTTATGTTTCACTCTTGTGAATGTAGACCTAGGATAATTATTATTCTCTCAAAATACTAGAATTAAAAATTCTTCATTAAATGCCAAGGGCCAAGCATATCTCCATAGGATATTTGTGAAGGTAATATCAGGTTAGAATTATTCAAACATAAGCAACTTTAAATAGCATAATAGTATAATAACGTTAGTAACACCTGTCGTTTATAAAACAACGATCACGCACAGGTGTCGGGTTACCTGAATATTCTCTCATGACCATGGCAAACGTGCAGGTGGGTTATTTTCTCTTGAAACACTGAGGACTTAAATAAAGTAAGGAAACCTTTTCTAAAAAATGTTAGTTAAAAATATCATTTATTTTAAAAGAAGTGCCAGTGTTGGCCATTAGTTTTATTTTATCTTTTAGCTAAATTCTTTCTGCTTATGTACTTCTGGAGAGTCAAGAGTGTGTTCCTATCCCTAAAATGTACTTATATTTTAAATAGAAACAAAACCCTTTATTTTACCTTAATTAGAGTTTTCTGCTTATTTTATAATGAAACTAAAGTTTATCTTTGCTTAGAAAACTTTCATGGTGCAATTTGAAATTACTCAATCAAAGCTGCATTGAAGCATTTTAGGTACTTTTGAAATTTCCTTATAGGTAAATAGTGAATATTCTAGTTATAAGTCTCTTCAGTCAAATTACATCTGAACAGCACTTTGAATAAGCTGTCTGAATCATATTGAGTGGACTTTTCTGGATTTCAGGCTAGCTTCCACTCTGTTAATGAGGATTAGTGAAATTTATAGAATTTGTTAAAGAAAAGGAGAAAACTGATTATGTTCTTAAAAATGGTACCACTTTTCAGCAGTTTTTTTTTTTTTTTCAAAAACAATTCATTGGACACATGATGTAAATATATGGTGTGAGGTCATAGGCTGTACAGAATGAGTTAAGCACAACAGAGTATGGGTATTAAATAGATATACATTTGATTACTAGACAGGATAGAAAGGTGAAATCATAACAAAGAAAACCTGAATACTCTCCTGAGTTCAGAGGAAGGTCATATGTTATTTTTATGGAGATATCAAGAAAGGCTTTATGAAGTTGTTAGAATGTTTTTAACAAATAAAATCCTTAGCTATGAGGATAGCAGTTGAAAGTACAACTTTGCCGTTTATTACTTTTAAGGATTTAGAGTCCAAGATGCCTTGTGGGGGGAGAAAAATGAAAACTTAGTTTAGTGTTTGAGATGTAAAGGGAAAGCTGGAGATCTTGTATTATCACTTGATTAATGTATTTGCTTCTAATACTCAGTTTTAAGTGGTTTTATTTCATATTAAGCAAATGCAGGTATTTGTAAAAGACTTGAGAATCTCTGCACTTAAACTGGGTGCTTCGTTGTTCTCTTTTCTAATGTTCACACTAATGATTTTCTTCTGCAGAAACCTGAAGGTACTACAAGCCAACCACCTTGTAACCAGCAAGTTGTAGAGGTGGCGATTCCCCATGTAGGGAAATTTATGATTGAGTCAAAGGAGGGGGGTTATGATGATGAGGTACTTTTGTCATGCCACTTGCACTTTTCCTACTTATTTTTTGCCACTTAATACAAGTACTTTGGGCATGGCTGCACCGTCTCACTTATTGTTTGTAGCTGCATAACATACAGCTTCGCCACCCCTGGTCTGAAAATACCTTACCAATTGCTCACAGAACTTCAAATTTCAAATGAAAATTTGAGCAGAAAGCTTGTGGTATTTTTCAAAATAACAACGTTATGTTTCTTAGTGTTAATTATTTTATGCCAACATAGGATTGGTTTACTCTCAGGTTGATAGATTAAAATAAGGTTTGTTTAAAAAGCAAAAATTTTGAGCCCTGGCTGGTGTAGCTCAGTGGATTGAGCGCGGGCTGGGAACCAAAGTGTCCCAGGTTCAATTCCCAGCCAGGGTATATGCCTGGGTTGCAAGCCATAACCCTCAGCAACCGCACATTGATGTTTCTCTCTCTCTATCTTCCTCTCTTCCCTCTCTAAAAATAAATAAATAAAATCTTTAAAAAAAATTTTTTTGAACATTTTAAAAATAATTTTTGTTTTTCTTTCTAGTTATACTTAATTATTTATTATAATCCTTTACTCACCCTTTCCTGCCACAACATACATCCTGATTGCAAAGTGATGATTGATATTTTTGCTTCTGCAACCTCCACATGGCTATGAATTGAACATGGCTATGATTCATCAACAGTTGCTGAATGACTGACTACCAGTGCTATACACACAGTGGGACCTCCATCCTGTCCTTCCTACCTCTTCACTATTCATTCTCATCTACTTAGTTTTCTAACAGAATGCAGGCATTTTTGCTTCTCATGATACATTTTTCTGGGAATCCAGATGAAAATGCACTGTCTCCTGGTCTCATCGTATTCTCCCCACTCCTCCACTTTACTCTTAAGACTCTTACATTTTGATATTTTCCATATTTCAGGAGGGTCAGGAAATCTTCTGCATAACAATATAGAAGACCTTGAGTTCTATTATTTGTTAGTTTCTACTGGCTTAGATAAGAATTAAGTCTTCTAGACTTACCTCAAGGTTTTAATTAAACTATTATATAAGACTTAAAATGTCTTTATGGTACTAAAATCAGAGGTGTCATAAAGATATAAGTTTTAGTATGTCAGTGTAAGAAAGTATGGCTATAAGTATGGAAAGTATGGCTATATGAGAATATGGCTATTTTATGAGAATATGGCTATTCTCATAAAAAGCAGGTTTATGAGATAGGAACTGGTCAGAAGAATTTTTCTCAAGAACTTAAAGTTATTGCAATTCTCACTATATAATCCAAAATAAATACTATGAGTAATAGGTTCAGTGACTCAGAGGTGATTGATGCAGTCTCTTGATAGCTGTAATGTAATAGCTTCATAGTGCCTTGATTATTTCATTTTGCAGATATTTTACAATGTAAACAGCTAAGAATAATAAGCTATATGAAAACAAAACTGTACTTAAGTATTTAGTACTTAATACCAATATGTTGTTCTAGTTAACTATTTTAATTCCATATTGGTACTTGAAAATTATGGAAATTATTGTTTTTAATAAAAATGCTAGTTCATTTATCAAACACCTTTGTGCTTGTTTTAAGGTGAGCCTTCTGGCATTAAAAAAAATAGAATTGTGATTAATCATTTAACACTCTGTTTTGTGAAGTGCTTATGCTGCCAGTAGAGTTTTGCTTTGTTTTTTAATTCACTGGAGTGGCGGTTTAACAGTGCATGTGCCTTGGAACTAAGTCCTATGGATACAGGGCTACTGCTTATGGATGTTTGGTTGTGCAGTTTTGCAGGGCTGCCTGGCCAATGGGCGGAAGTAGAGTTGAAGTGGAGCTTACGCTGACTAAGCGCCCCAAGCCTTAATAAAGAGGCACCTTTTTTAAATAAAAAGATTGTTGCTAGCTCTGTGTGGTTCTCTTACTCAGAGAGCAGCACATTTTTCTAATTTGTCAAGAAGGAAGGAGATGTCTTTTCAAAAGTCTTTGGTTCAGAGAAGATGCCTTTTTGCGTTTTGCACAAAGGCACCATATAAACTAGATGTGGCCCTGTATAGATGATTTTGAAATATACTTACATGCATATTGGATCACATTTGCTATAAAAATGCAATATTTGATTATAAATAGTAAAGGAATTCTAACCTGCATGTGAAGAAATAATTTTGGTTTTTAAAGTATTTTTACGTTACTCATTCAAAAACTCTTACTTTAAATCCCTGTGGCAGATCATGATGACACCGAACATGCAAGGTATTATCATGGCGATAGGTAAATCCAGAAGTGTATATGACAGGTGTGGCCCTGAAGCAGGGTTCTTTAAGGTACAATGAACATTTTCATTTTATTTTCTTACTTTTTAAATTAGACTTCTTAAAATGTTTTTCTTACTTGAATTAAATTTGATTTCCTGTATGATTTCTCCTTTCCTACCATAGTCATGGTCACCTGATGTTCTGGGGGTTTCTTTTGTGCATGAATCTAAGACTGATTATTTATTTCTTTTAATACAGATAATTCAACAAAAACAAAGCATTTTACCTGGGTTACCCTAATAGTGCACCTCTGATTTGTTAGCAGAAATTTGAATTGTGTTTTATGTTTTTATCATATTTAAAAGGAATAAAAGGTATTGATGAGCAAAACTAGGAACTGAGTAACTTTCCGAAAATAGTTTATTTTTCCTTCATTGGTAATACTATTAGTCAATCTTATAATATTTTTCTTTAATTTTATTATCACATGATACTAAATTGCTTTATTGGTTTGTTTGTGAAATGGTTCATTCATGTGTTATCTCTTTTTTTCCTAGTCACTTACGTTTTCCCCATGGTTAATTTTTGATATCCTAGTCACTTGAAGACCTGTGAGACCATCAAGCAGATGCATTGTTCCACGACTCAGTCTTTTTCTCCTCTAAATCCAGATCCTTACAGTGTTTTCATTACAACAGTATTTACTTTTACATATTTGAAAAATGAAAACACTGTGTATTTTGTCATTTTAGTTGTAGTAACCAAAAATCTACCAGAATTTTTCCACTCCTATCACCTTGTTAGTCTTTGTTTTTTCTATTCAAAAATAAAAAAAAGCAGGGTTAAAGAGATATAATTCACTACACTAAACACATGCTCCTTTTTTTTACATAAAAAGTCTAAACTTTCCTCTTAATTTTTTGTACTCTGCCATCAGCAAACTCAGTCTTCAAAACACTGCTTATTTCCGGTATTTCTTCAGTGTATAGTACAAAACAAAGGCCTTGTGCATAGTGGCCTATATCAATAAGCACTTTTCGACTTATTTGGATTAGAATAACCAACCATCCTAGTATGCCCAGTGCTGTGGGGAATCCTGGGAGACAGACACCTTCAGTGATAAACTGTAGAAGTTCTGGCAAAATGGTCTCAGAATGAGCTGATCACCCTAACAAAGTTCTTTAAAAAAGGTTGAAAAGCTACTCATAAAAAAAAAAACTTTTATGTTTAAAAATTCATCCTTACTCCTAGATAGTCTAAATTTATTTTCTTTTCTTAAAAAAACACTGAATATGTGTCTTCTAAAGTTTTCATCTATTTCTTGTGGAAAACTTATCTGTTGTTTACAGTGCCATTGTCATTTTGTATCAAGTTGGATATCTTAAATTGGAAGTCTCATTTTTATTAAAATAATCTCTGCATATATTTTAAAGAGCCCTCTAATTATACATGCTACAAACAACACTCACCACGTCCCCTTCCCCTGTGGAAACAACTTTTAATTATTTTACCTAGTCTTTTTGGCATTATTTCCATAACTTTATAACTAGAATGCTTGTTTCTGTTTGTTTGTTGTTTTTTTTTTTGCGATTCTTAGTTTACACATTTTCTTTGAATTTCCTGCTATGGGATGTGAACAATGAGCCCTCTTTCTTATCCCAGCCCACATAGAGTTCCCATCCCTCCATCTGCACTGTCTGCCCCCCGGCACATAAAATCTTGTCACATTGGTTAAATCAGAATTCTTTCTATTATTTTTATATATGCTACTTGGGATTGAGCTAAGTTCTAAACATTATTATTTTACTTTGTTTAAACTGAGCTTTTGTTTTCTTTGGAGTTTTGGTTTATTTTGGTTTGCTTAATTTTCTTTGTGTATCACGGTTTCACTTCTAACTCTCCACCATTTGCTTAAATCTCCTCTTATTCTGTTCTTTGTGAATTTTACCTTTTGGAGAAGTCTGTCTGGCCCTTCATGTCCTGCACTGGTTTTCCTTTACCCTGAGATCTCTTTTCACCATCAACTGGGGGTGCTTTTTACATCTTGTCCTGTGTGCATTTTCTATATCTCATATATTTCTCTTTTTGGTTTACCCACTAATTTTTATGCAGCAACAAATTTCTAAAGTTTGTATTTGTCCACATTTTATTTTTACACATGTAATTGAGGAATACATATGTATGTAATTTTATGCAAACGTTATCATTTGTTTATAATTAATGTATATTTTGGTATAGTAAATGACTAACATTTGGAAAATTCTAGCTGATAATAATATGATTTTAGGAAATCTGTCAAGTGAATTACAAAAGTAATATTTGCATTATGCAGTCATTCAATAATATAGAGGTGTCCAAAATATGTACATAGCATATCTTTGTCAGGTTTATTTTATATTGGCTTTTTAGCTAGGAAAAGAAGCTTTTCCACTCTCTGCCTAAGTACTTATAGATATGGGTTTCCTATGATCATACTAATTGTTACGTGTTATTTATGTTTCCTGGTGGTAAAACTGTGATGAAAGCATTAACTTTGTTACTGATAAAAATGTGAGTTGCACAGTGAAACTGACATCAGGCTGGGTGGTGGACTTGCTGAGGTTTCACCTGGGAATTAGAAGTTACCAACCCAGTCAGTCCATTCCTGTGTCAGCCACCCACAGGGAGAGTGCCCTGTAAACATACAACATCAAAGAGTTAATAGGCAGTCAGATCTGGAAAAATAAATGCGGAAATATACTTACCTTGATCTTTCTCCCAATTTGACTATTTATTAGCATTCGTTTTCATTGTTAACAGAACCCACCCCACCCCAGAAAAGATAGTGGCTTAAAGACAGAGGTTTCTGTCATACAAAAACGAAATCCAGAGAAAGGCAGTGTAGGACTACTATGATGAACAAAAATAAGTCAGACAAAAGAAAATAATATTCTCAAAGTACTAGTTGCTTGTATGTGTATGTACAGGGATGCGAGGTGGAGATGATAATTATAATTGTGGGATTAGTTTAACTTTTTTAATTTATTTAAGAGAAATTAAAATTTGTTTTTTGTATATTTGTTTCTATACCTATTAAAGTGCCCTTAGGATTTTTAATGAAGTAATAACACTTTTATAATATGAAAATTTTTAACATTTATTTCATTGCTTCATAACAGTTCTTTCCAGTTGACATAACTTTCTCATTGAAATGCCTATTATTATTACTCCCTTGTTTATTCAATAGATATAAAGTATATCAGAAATAGACCCAAACAGACCCACTTACAAATGGTACTTAATATGTTATTAAATGTATAAAGGATACATTAGTGTATATATTAGATGTATAAAGGATACATTAGTCAAAATTTTATGTGTGAACTGTTTGGCTATTTCTCTGTTTGGAGAAAATGAAATTCCATAATCTAAACAAAACAGTAAAATCCTAAAAATACTAGAATTAAAGATATGCACAATTTTGGAAGTGTTCATATGGGCCCAAATTCATGAAGAAAGTATTGATATATTTTATAAGATTTTTAAAATTCTACACAGTAAGACATTAAAGACAAATTGAAAGATAAATGACAAAATACAATTTGAAACTTATAGATGAGTCAAATTTCTTTTTTAATATATTTTATTGATTATGCTCTTATAATTTTCCTATTTTTTTCTCCCCTTTATTCCCCTCCTCCTTGTATGCCTTTCCCACCATCATTCCCCCACCTTAGTTCATGTCCATGGGTTGTACATGTAAGTTCTTTGGCTCCTCCACTTCCCATACTATTTTTAACCTCCCCCTGTCTATTTTGTACCTACCATTTATGCTGCTTATTCCCTGTACCTTTTCCCCATTCTTCCCCTTACCCGCTGATAACCCTCCATGTGATCTCTATTTCTGTGAATCTGTTCCTGTTGTTGTTATTTGCCAGTTTGGTTTTGGTTTTGTTTTGGGGTATTTTTTTTAGGTTTGGTTGTTGATAATTATGAGTTTGTTATCATTTTACTGTTCGTATTTTTTTATCTTCGATTTCTTAGATAAGGCCCTTTAACATTTCATGTAATAAGGCCTTGGTAATGATGAATTTCTTTAGCTTTACCTTATCTAGGAAGCACTCTATTTACCCTTCCATTCTAAATTATAGCTTTGCTAGATAGAGTAATCTTGGATGTAGGTCCTTGACTTTCATGACTTTGAATACTTCCTTCTAGCACCTTTTTACCTGCAAGGTTTCTTTTGAGAAATCAGTTGATAGTCTTATGAGAATTCCTTTGTAGGTAACTCTCTCCTTTTCTCTTGCTGCTTTTAAGATTCTCTCCTTATCTTTAATCTTAGCTAATGTAATTATGATGTGCCTTGGTGTGTGCTTCCTTGGGTCCAACTTCTTTAGAACTCTCTGAGCTTCCTGGACTTCCTAGAAGTCTATTTCCTTTGCCAAGTTGGGGAAGTTCTCCATTATTTGTTCAAATAAATTTTCAGTTTCTTGCTCTTCCTCGTCTCTTTCTGGCATCCTTGTGATTCAGATGTTGGAACATTTAAAGTTATCCCAGAGGTTCTTAAACCTCTCCTCATTTTTTGGAATTCTTGTTTGTTCATTCTGTTCGTGTTGAATGTTTATTTCTCCCATCTGGTCCAGACTGTTGATTTGAGTCCCAGTTTCCTCCCCATCACTGTTGTTTCCCTGTATACTTTTCTTTATTTCACTTTTCATAGCCTTCACTTTTTCCTCTATTTTGCAGCAATACTCAACCAATTCTGAGGTATCCTGGTTACCAGAGTTTTGATTACCATGTGTGGTGGTCTGCATCTGATAGGTTGGCTATCTCTTCATTGCTTAGTTGTGTTTTTTCTGGAGCTTTGATCTGTTCTTTCATTTGGGCCATATTTTTTTTGTCTTGGCACACTTGTTAAGTAGTAAAGGGGCAGAGCCTTAGGTGTTCACTAGAGCAAGGCAACCCATGTAGCTGGGTTTGGTGCTGTATGTGGGAAACAGCACCACTTGCTCTGCTTTCTGCTGGTTTTCAGTCACTTCCCCCACTACCCATAAGCAAATTGGGCCCTCCTGGTGCTGATTCCCAGGTGGTGGGTGGGTTTATGTACATTCTAGGACCCTGTGGGTCTCTCCAACGAACTCCCCTGTAAGGCTAGGAGTTTCTCGTGCCACAACCCCCACAGGTTTTCGTTTTGTTTTGTTTTGTTTTGTTTTTCAGTCAGAGGTTTTGAGGCTTTATTTCCCTGTGCTGGAGCCCTGGGCTGTGTGATCTGTCTCTCTCCCAGTTGTTCCTCCCAGTTTATCCGCATGCATATGTGGGGCCTCCAGGTCCATCAGCCCCCGCTTTGCCACTAGCAAGTCCTCTCCACCTGAGCCGCCCGTCTCTGCCCCTCCTACTGGTCTGCATGAATGTTTCTTCTTTAACTCCCTGCTTGTTGGACTTCCATACTGTTCAATTTTCTGGAAGTTCTGGTTATTTTTTGTTTTTAAATTTGTTGTTATCCTTCTTTTGGTTGTGTGAGGAGGCAAAGTATATCTATGTGCAACTCCATCTTGACCGGAAGTCCTAGAATTTTTTTTTTATTACCAGTCTGTCTGTGTCCTATATATTTCGATGTCTCATATATCCAATATTAATATAATTTGGATACTTTGGGCTCAGTAATTATTTAAAACAGTATTTTTAAATTCTTAAGTGTTTTATTTGGGAGTTATCTTTAGTTTTAATTCTATTTGTATTGCATTGTGGTCAAAAAACATAGCCTACATGATGCTGATCCCTAAAATGTGAAGTTTCTTGGTACACTGTCACTCATTAGAAAAATAGTCCATAAGCATTTTAAATGTACATACTTATTTATATAGAGATACACTTTTTCTCTGTACTTAACTAACATTATTTTACAGATAAAAGCCCTAAGACTTGGAGAATTACATGACTGTTTTTTTGTCACAATTAGTAAATGATATCCTAGCTTTCGGAATCTTAATCTAGCCAATTTTCCCTTAGATCTTACCACCTCCAGAGTATATAGTATGTTTGTATATTTGGTATCTTCTAATGTATCTTTATATATGGTTATGTCAAAATAAGTTCTCTAAGAAGTTAAAAATTTAGAATGATTTTATAGTTGATTTAGAAAAGTAGAAAAATGTTTAGGTAGAAATCATTTGAATCTTTAGAATTGAAGATTTGAAAAGAGAGACTTAAACTAGTCTCACCGAAGGAGTCACCTGCAGATAGGTGGGGAATGAACAAGAAAAGATGACATGCATGTGGGGAACGTAAGAAACAGAGGCACATGTGCATCTGGGCAGACAGGTCTGACCTAGGTGGATGGAGGAGATCTTTGTTGAAGAGTTACAGGAAATAAGACTGAATAGGTAACATTGGGCCTGATGAGTAGGACCCTGTGAAAGGACTGGTGAAAAGAAATTAAAAAATTAAATGTAAAGTAGTTTTGTCACTTAATGACCAGTGTCACACTTCATTTTATAAATGTGTGGTGGTCTCATTGACATGTCTGTGATAACGAAGGATGGAAAGAACAAACATAAGTCTAAGTATAAAGGATTCTGAGGAATTGAAATGGGGCAAATTTAACAACTCAACAGTATTAACTGTATTCATGTTAGATTGTGTAGAGCTCTGCTAAATATGTCAGTGTGGTAAATCTGTTGACAGTTTGAAGGCATAGATATGATTGAAGTATATTTTAAAAGTTAGAAAACTAAATTTAAAAAATGATGAATATGTGCTGGTAAAAAGTGGTTTATGTGGGGGCGGGTGGGAATTACTCTTAGAAATTAAGACATAACTTGACTGCTTTAAATTCCTATAGATTATAAATTTGGCATTTACTTGTGAAACTTAGGATCTTAAGCAGAGCAAAATCAAGAAATAAACATAATCTTAAGTAAAAGAAGATAAATGTATACCCCAGTCCTCTAGTAGAAATCTATATACTATTTATGAAATAATCACAGTCGTTACTTTGAAAGTAGGTAGGAAAATGGATAACCATTTAGGGTTATTATTTCTATCTCTATACCATAGTATTATTTTCACAGACTCAATACGAATTTAATTTATTTTGGCATACTAATTTTGGCCAAAAGCACAGTATCTAAAATATTTGTAATATTCAGAAAACCCTGACACCTATAGGAGCCATTGTCTAAGTGCTGTAATAAGGAAGAAGAGTTGATAGTTTTTGTTTTATATTTTTCTCAAATTTAGTATAATTTGGTAATTAAATGATCATGTGCCTTATTTTTTTTCAAATTGGGAAAATAGGGAAAATTTTTAAAACGTTCTAGACAAAGCTTATGTGTGCCATAGGTATGCCAAGAACTGAACCTTGATAATCTCACGTGTCAAGGCAGAGTTAATTTTCACGGCTGTTTTTAACCCTGGCTCTAAGACTTTAGAATGACATGTAGATCCTTTACAAAAAGAATATAGAATTACTTTATTTGTAATCCTAAACTATATAGAAAGGACTTATTACCCTTTTTCTTCATGAAGTATAATAATATATAACTAGAACATTTCATTTAATGTTTGTTAGTTATAATTTCTCACTTATATAAAATAGTCATATAGGCAGTAATATTTGTATGCCCAAGAATTGCTTAAGAAAGGCAGGCATACATTTGACAAAGAAAAACCCTTGCAATAGAGTAGGTAATCTGTAATATGTTTTTCATGTAGCCTCCAAATATTTATGGTTAGTAGAGCTAAAATTTAGATATGTCTAATATAAATGAGTAATTTAAAAATTACTATCTTTAATCATATAGGTTTCTTATAAACAGCAGTATTTGATGTATATAACTATGTATTTCTATAGGAGGAAATATTTTCAAATCATTTGTTCATGTGTAGAAACATATTAGTATTTATTTTTTATTATAATTAGTTATAAATAAGCCCTGGCTATTGTGGCTTAGTGGATTGAGCACCAGCCTGTGAACCAAAATGTCACTGGTTCAATTCCTGGTCAGGGCAAGAGGACAGGTGTAAAGTGTGTCTCTTGCGCTGTGATGTTTGTCTCCCTTTCTCCTTTCCTTCCCCTCTCTAAAAATAAATAAATAAATGAAATGTTTTTTAAAAATAAAAATGAATTATGAGGTGTTTCCATCCTTAAAGGAAAAATATATGCCAGCATCAAGGTAGTAATAGTGATACCATTCAACAATAAATAATTGTACTAATAAAATGCATGTTTTTTGAAGCAACAGGGATTCATTCTTTGGTAACTACACTGTCATGGCTTGCTCTTTCATCCCTTATTTGTGGACTGTTCAGCAAAAAGTTACTTATAGTAATAGTGCCGGGCATTCAAGAACCAGCCATTTACGTTGGGTATTCTAATGGAGCTGTATTTCAGCCCTAGAATTTGGGATAGTAGAGGCTACATCAAATGGATACTAGAAAGTATACGATAGAAAATACTTAGTATCTCAATCTTAAAATACCTTTGAATGGCCTTTGACTAGGCTTTTAATTTTTTTAAGTTTTACAAAATCATTCACATAGTAAACTTAGATGTTTTGTTTATTTCACCAGTTCTCTGGGTGAAAACAAAAAGAACATGTAATGATTGGATGAGGAAGGGCTTCCGTGGTCACGTTCTTAGAAAATTCTTTTAATCTATGGAATATAGAACAATATTCTTTGTATTGTTTGTAATACTTTGAAAGGAAATGAAAACCATATTTGACTGCAATAATCATTAAGATTATAATATTGAAGGATTTAATTGTTATAATTAACAAAAACTGACATTTTGTTATTGCTTTTTCTAGGCAATTAAGTTGGAGTATTCGAGATTGGTTAAACTGGCCCAAGAAGATACCCCACCAGAAACAGATTATCGTCTGCATCACGTGGTGGTCTACTTTATCCAGAACCAGGCACCGAAGAAAATCATTGAGAAAACATTGCTAGAACAATTTGCAGATAGAAATTTGAGTTTTGATGAAAGGTAATTTAAAAATATGAAATATCTAATTCATATACTCAAATGTTCTTGCCTTTTATAGCTCCCAGTGCAATATTTGAATGTTTATTGTACACATACAGACATCTCAATAAATAAAGCACAAATTAGACTTTACTCAGTGTGAACAGTTGTTTTATAATTTATCTACAGTTTATAGCTATGACTTTTAAAAGCTTGAACTTAAAATTATTCAGATCATTTTAGTACATTTTAATTGTGAACCAGGGTACTGTACTAGGCAATATAATGATATACAGAAGAGTATACTGTAATCACTGCCTTGTAGAACTTAATAATTTAGAGAAAAGAATTTCTCAACCTTTACACTATGTATACTTTGAGTCAGATAATTGGTTAAATTAATTTTAGTGTACCAAAAAAAAATGTTTTCTCTTAGAAGCTCCTACAAAACTATTCACTAATGTTAAAATTTTACAGTTTAACTTAGAATGAGTGCTGTTTTAAAAAGGTAGGTCTCTGTTAAAAATCAGAGTGTTGGAAGTTAGAATATGAAAACAATCACATTTTAATTCTGAAATAAGTGACTATCCTTTTATGACCGTTTCAAAAATACTGAATGAAAAATATATTTGGCAGAGGAGAATGTGAAGAGAAATGAACATCTAAGATTAGTCCTGCCTCACCATGGATTAAGTGAAGGAGTACAATTAAATGGTTTTCAGCAGTACTGGTAAACAGGGAGTGACCAGAGTGAGGGTTGGCTGTTTCAGTTTTAATAGGGGGCATCGTTTATTTTGTTACATATGACCACAAATAGCTCAGAAGTGTAACTGATTATGACCCTTATTATCTGTCTGTTGTTGTACTGTGTTCCAGTGAATATATGCTGTCGAATTTTGAGATTTGTGGAATAATCACATTTTTTCATTCTTTTGCAATTATTTGTCCAGGGGACTGCAAATAGTTTCTTTTGATAACCCAATTTCCATTGTGCTTGAAAGTCAGACTAAGATGCATGTGATAACTAAATATATCTTGTGGGGATTTCTTTAGCTGTGATTTTCATCATAAAATTTATTAGAATGTTTCCATTCTTACCTAAAAGGATAGGCATATTTTGGATTCTTTTTAACTATTTGCAAATAATTCCATTTGGGGGAAAATAAAATTTAATGTCTCCTTGAGCTTGCTAAATAAATATAAATTATTTTTGAACAGATATTTTAACTATGCAATCTTTATTTATAGAATGTAATTTAAACAGTATATATAATTGTAACATAGTAAATTTAACTTAGAATTACTGGGACTGTCTTTTATATACTTTGTAACTATCCAGCATTAGTCCCTAAACTTGTTTTCACTTAATTTATTTGGGAGTTGTTTCCTCAGTGACAGTGAATTTCATTTTCATATGTTGGATAGTTTTGACTTGTACAACATACATTTTTCAGTTTTTATGGATTTTGCTTTTGATTTAGGAATATATTTCTCTCATTTAAAGGTGTCACAACATAATGAAAGTTGCTCAAGCCAAACTTGAAATGATAAAACCTGAAGAAGTAAATTTGGAGGAATATGAGGTAATGTGCTTTTGAGAGGTTGAACTGTAGGTGGAGAATTCTGTGGCTCTGGTCTTCCTTTCATTTTAGCCCAGCTGAGCACCAGAGAAAATGACGTACACGGTGGTGCAATAACCTACCAAGGTTTTTCTCAGCTAGCAGGTTAAACTTGGTTAACAGAACCTGTGTTCTTTTTTTACCCCATGAGTTCTTTCTCTCTCTCCTTTTTTCTTTTTTTGCTTAATCCCTTCCCCTCCCTAGCCCTCCCCCACCCCCTGGGGCTGTCAGCCTGCTCTCTATCTGTGAGCCTTGTCTCTATTTTGCTTGTTAGTTCAGCTTAGAACTTCCATTCTTAAATGCTATCCTTTACCAAAGCCATGCTGTATTTTTTTTTCTTTGTTTCATCACATATTTATGGGATGTGAGAAATTTATTTTAATCCTTGAACCACACCTATATTTATCCTTATTAGACATTGTTGTGCGTGTAAGAGAGAGACCACGAGTACTGGTATTGGGCTTGCAGTAATTTTGTGCACAAAATTCTCTTAACTTTGACTTTAAAATTAGTATCTTTTTAAATTTACCAATTCAAATACTTAATATTTTTAAGTAGTTAAATTTATACTATATATAATATGTTTCATATACATGTATATTATTAAATGTAATGTTTATAATACATTATTGATACATATAATTAACTATATAGTGTCTTTTTCCATTTATAAATTCAGTATATTTTCAGTTGCTTTCATGCGTGCTTTGATTAGTGTTTGGTTCCACTTAATTATTTTAGATTCCCATAAACAATTATGGTAATTCACCATATTACAACAGATAATATGACAGAAAGATACATAAAACAGTCATTTTTAATGAAAACCCTCAGCTAGCCTGGAATACAAGGTTACTACTTTACTGTGCTAAAGAGTGCCTCAAAAACCAAAAAGTTACAACAAGCATATAGAACCACGGACACTGAAAGCTCTCCTTTTGTGATCAGGAGAAAACAAGGATTCCTGCTGTTACCACTTCTACTCAGGGTGGTACTGAAGGTTCAAACAGGGCAGTAAGGTGACAAGATTAACCAAAAGTGAAAGATTGAAAGATTGGAAAAGAAGAAACAAAGTTATTTTCAATTTTATACCAATATAATACAAACAAGATCTATAGATAAACTTATTGAAACTAATTAGAGAACTTTGCTACATTCAAACCTATGTCAAATATCAATTTTATCCTTTTATACCAGTAACAAATAATCAGAAAATAAGTTTTAAAAAATAACATCATTTACAATTTCAGCCAGAACTAAGGAATACCTGGAAATAAATTTAACAAAAGATGTGCATGACTTTAGGAGACATTAAAGAAGACCTATTTTAATGAATAATATGTATCATGTTTGGAAAACTTGGTATTATAAAAATGACAGAATTCCCCTAAATGGTTTATTGATTCACTGCAGTTTCTATCAAACTTTAGCAAGTTGTTTCAGGGAGCTTGATAGACTGAATCAGAAATTTTACAGAAATGCAATGATCTCAGTCTAGTCCTGACATTCTTGAAGAAGAACAAAGTAAGAAGGCTTATTTTACTAGAAATAAAGACATAATAACTATTCTGTTTATAAGAATATTAGCTTAAGAGTAGGAAAATTAGAGCAGTAAAGCATAATAGAAGATCTAGAACATGGCCCCAAGTCAATGGACACGTGATATGTGACACAGATGGCTAGCGAATTGGTTGCTAACTCTTCCCTGTTCCCAGAATTCAGGTTACATGGGACTTAATTTTTAATTGTGATTTGATTCTGCAGTTCCTCCGCAGGGTTGCTTCATCAGATTGGATTCAGCATATTTTTATTTTAAAAACTTGTTATTTTTTTTCTAACTGCAGAGCCATTAAATCTTACAGGTATTCACATAACATACTTTTGGATTTTGTTGTATGTCACCTATCTTTGTCTGACTCTAACTTAGGGATCCGCAAACCTTGACCTGAAAACCAAATCCAGCTTACCATCCCTTTTTATAAATAAAGTTTTATTGGCACACAGCCATTTATTTATGTGTGTTTTCACACTGTACTCAGAGTTGAGTAATCTGTAAATCCTAAAACTTTTACTATCTAGCCTTTTTCAGAAAAAGTTTATTAACTCATAACTTCTGAGGCAATTCTAATGACAATAAAGTGGCAACTTGAATACTTTCCCAGGAATGCCAGCTTTATATTTGCAAAACAAATTTTACCTTTATTCATTATTAAAGTCTACTAATAGTATAAAAATAATGCCTCAAAAACTTAAAAATTAAAGTGGCTTACATTCAGGGAGAATATTATTGGTCGGTAACTGCTCTATATGTTTCCTACTTTAATTTGCTTATAATAATGTTCATATAAGAGCTTTAATACTTTTATTATCAGTATCGCTTTTAGGTTAATCCTACATTGTATTTCAGTTACGGTTTTCCTTGAATCAATTTTTGTTAAATAAGTTAAGAAAAATTTTTTTTTTTTGTTTTCTAGAGTTATAGGATGTCAGTTCTGAATTGTTTAGTCCTATTACTTACCCTATAATTGGCTTTTCAGAGATAGGGCAGTGAAATGTGAAATGCATCTGTCCTTTTCACTGCAACTCAGATGAATAGACTGCTCAGCTGCCACATGTAAAATCAAATTTGTCTTTAATCCACTTTGATTTTGTTCTTGTGTATAGTGTAAGTTGGTCTAGTTTCATTTTTGTTCCTGTATCTGTCCAATTTTACCAACACCATTTGTTGAAGAGACTATCTTTACCCCATTGTATATTCTTACCTCCTTGGTCAAATATTAATTGACCATAAAGATGTGGGTTTATTTCTGGGCTCCCTATTTTATTCCATTGATCTATATGCCTGTTCTGTGCCAGTGTACACTGTGTTAATAATTATGGCCAGGTAGTATAGTTTGATATCAGGTAGTGATTTTCCTCTAACTTTGTTTTCTTTCTCAAGATTGCTGAGGCTTTTGGGGGCCTTCTGTGGTTCCATATAAATTTTTGGAATATTCGTTCTAGATCTGTGAGATATGCCATTGGTATTTTAATAAGAATAGCATTGGGAAACCATAAAAATCCTAGAAGAAAATGTAGGCAGTAAACTTTCAGACATTTATCGTAGCAGTATTTTTGCTGGTATATCTCCTTGAGCAAAGGAAACAAAGGAAAAATTAAACAAATGGAACTACATCAAACTAAAAAGCTGCAAACCATCAACAAAATGAAAAGAGAACTCACTGAATGGGAGAACATACTTGCCAATAACAGACCTGATAAGAAGTTAATTTCCAAAATGTAGAAAGAATTTACACAACTCAAAACCAAAATGTGAATCCAATTTCAAAAAAGGACAATGGACCTGAATAGACACTTCTCCAAGGAAGACATACAGAGGGCCCACAGACATATGAAAAAATATTCAACGTCACTAATCATCAGAGAAATGCAAATTAAAACCACAATGAGATATCACCTCATATCTGTCAGAATAGCTATCATCAATAAATCAACAAGTGCTGACAAGAATGTGGAGAAAAGAGAACCTTTTTGCACTGGTGGTGGGAATGCAGACTAGTACAGCCAGTGTGGAAATCAGTATAGAGTTTCATCAAGAAAATTAAACATTGAACTGCTTTTTGACCACCAATCCCACTTCTGGGAGTATATCCAAAGAAACCCAAAACACTAATTTGAAAGAATATATGTACCCCTATGTTCATTGCAGCATTATTAACAATGGCCAAGATCTGGAAACAGCCCGTGTCCAACACTAGATGAGTGGATAAAGAAGCTGTGGTACATTTACATGATGGAATACTATGTGTCCATTAAAAAGGAAATCTTACCTTTTGTGACAGCATGGATGGACCTGGAGATTATTATGTTAAGTGAAATAAACCATTAAGAGAAAGACAAATACTATGTGGTCTCACTTATATGTGGAATCTAATGAACAAAATAGAAATGGAAGGATGGATACATAGAACAGACTGGCTCTGTGAGAGGGGAGAAGGGGTTGGGGGGCTGATAAAAGAAGGTGAAGGGATTAAGCAAAAAAATGTATATGACACCTAGACTACAGACAACAGTGTGATGACAGCCAGAGGGAAAGGGGGTGAGGGTAGGTGAAGGTGGACAAAGGGGGGATAAATGGGGTTGGAAAGAGACTTTGCTTTGAGTGACAAGTACACGATGCAGTGTGCTGATGGCTGACATTCTGTTGAGTTGTACACTTGAAACATGTTTGGTTTTATAAAACAATATCAACCCAGTAAGTTCAATTAAAACAATAAAATAAGATTCAGCACAAATTTGGCAAAATTAATGGTTAAACAAATGCATTATGATAATATCAAACTTATTTTTAGTTTAAATTCTTCATCAAATAACAGGCTTCAATCTTTGAATCACATTAGAGTAGCTTTATTTACTTCCTACATTCAGTGTGATGTAGACATATAAATATAATACAAGGTGGGGCAAAAGTAGACTTAGAGTTATTTGTATGGAAAATAACATAATAATTAATACATAATAATACAAGAATAAACTCTGGTTTGTGTGCTCACAATTATAAGCCTACTTTTACCCTACCCTGTATTTTCATAATATGCTTTTTATACTGAGGAATTTTAGAGCAAGAGATAACCAGATTGATTATCCTGCCTGTTGTCTTGTAATGCAATCTTTGTTGTTTAATTTTTCATCAATGTCTAATACTTTTTGTTTATTATTTTACTAATAAGTAAACCTGTTTGTCAGAAATTAGTCTTTTTTGCTTTTTTTTAAAGATTTATATTTATTTATTTTTAGAGAGAGGAGAAGGGAGGGAGAAAGAGAGGGAGAGAAACATCAATGTGTGGTTGCCTCTTGCGTGCCCCCACATTGGGGACCTGGCCTGCCTGGAGACGTATGCCCTCACTGGGAATCCAACCAGCGGCCCTTTAGTTTGCAGGCCAGCTCTCAATCCACTGAGTCACACCAGCCAGGGCCAAAGTCTTTTTTAATTTAACCTTTATTATATTTTTTCTCATGATTTTTTAAAATTATATTTTATTGATTATGCTATTACCATTGTCCTGATTTTTCTCCTTTACCTGCCTACAGCCAGAACCCCCTACTCCCTCAGGCAACCCCCTTAACATTGTTCATGTCCATGGGTCATGTGTGTAAGTTGTTTGGCTACTCCATTTCCTACACTGTACTTTACATCCCCATGGCTATGCTGTAACAGCCTGTTTGTACTTCTTAACCCCCTCTCCTCTTCACCCATTCCCCCACATTCCCCTCCCTGATTTAGCTCTAGTTTATCTTAATTTTGAACTCTCTGCTTCTACTAATATATCAGAACAGTATATTGCTTTATGATGAGATTTCATTGTGGTTTTAATGTCTTCCTGTGTAAACCTTTCACATTTTCTTTCACGTACAGGACTGGCATCAAGATTATAGGAAATTCAGGGAAACAACCATGTATCTCATAAACGGGCTGGAAAATTTTCAGAAAGAAAGGTAAGGAAAGTGGACACAGCTGAAAAAAAGAGCTTAATTTTCATACTTAATTCTATTCAGATATGACCTTATCTATAGAAAAGATTTTATTCACATTATATATTTTTCATAAATGTATTATTTTAAAACAGTTTCAGATTTCCAGAAAAATTGCACTGTTAACACCAAGAGTTTATATACCCCACATACAATGTATTTTTTATTTTAAGTTAAATCTGTGAGCTTGGTACCAGTATCTTTGTATCAACTCTGAAATACTACAGCTGAAGTTTAGGATGAGGTAGAATTGGATAGAAGCCTAGAAGTTTGCTGGACATCAGAGGTGCTGGTAGCCTGGCATGTGGAGTTCTCTGTATTCCCTGGCATCTCCCTACAGGCACCTGCCTTTCCACATTCCCTCTGGGCCGAATCCGTACCTCAGTTCAGAGACAGTTTTTCCAGTCTGTCTCTGCCTGAACTTTCCATGACTTGTAAAAAATATATAGCTGTAGAAAACTGGTCTCTTCTGAGCATTGTGACTGCACACTTTTTTTTTTTCATTTAAATTGCAAATGGTTTAAAGGTATATCTACTTAAACTATAATATTGTTACTTATTATTTTAATTGTTACCAAGAAGAAAAGATGGGTATTGATTTATTTACCATTACAGATTACTCACTAGTTTGCGTTTACTTATTTCTCTCTCTATTTCTTTATTTATATCTTTTAACATGAACTTCACTAGTGATTTGTTTTAAAAAGTGCTATATTTTAAATAATGCCATATTGCTATTGCAACAAGTAAAATGTATATTGAATTTCTTCCTTCTCTTCCCCATTCCCCTCTCCCTCCTCTATCTTTCCCTTTTCCTCACTAGGTAATGAAATTATTTTTTCTTAAATGATAACTTAGACCTCTACTTCTAGAGCTGCAATGTCCAATGTGGTGGCCACCAGCCATATGTGAAAATTAAATTTTTTTAAACTAAAAATTCAGTTTCTCAGTCAGACTAGCCACATGGTGAGTGTTCAGCATCTCCGTGCAGTAACTAGCACATGTGCTGAGGGACAAAGCACTTCCTCCCTTGCAGGAGATCTGTGGGCCTCACTGCTCTGTGCATTGGACAGTGCAGAACGCTGTTATCCCTACAGTTCAAGTTATTACAAAAAGTAAAAAGTAATATTAATACTTGGATGCAAATTATTAAAGTCCTAATTATTGTATAATTTATAACATAATTCACTTCACATTGGCCGTTGAAATAGAAACCTATTTTGATAATAGCTCTATTTTGTAAGTTTTTATTTTGATCAAGGTTTTATTTCTTTAGTAGAAATATTTAAATTCACATTAGGATTTCTCAGATTTGTACTGATGTAAGTATTAATATGATGTTACAATTCAATAGAGAGTCTAAGACCAAAATGCTATTTAAAAATAAAAGAAAAGAAGCTCCCTAGTGCAATAACTTTGTCATGGTCACACAACTAGCTACAGGAGAAAAATTAAAATAGAGACCCCTGTATTTCTGGATAATGCAATGAAATCATTTAAGCACAAAAAGTATTATCTCACTCAGAATTAAAAAGGGGAAGCTGTCACTTTATAACTGTCTGCATAGTGTCTTATATTAACTTTTTTTTAGTTAACATCCATTAAAGGTCTTCAAAAAGATATAACTTGGAAATATATTGAAATTTTATAATTTCTTTATCTCAAATATTTGTTCTATAGTCAGTATTTCAGTATAGCAAATATTAATTAAATTGGCAGGATTGACTGGAAAGTTAGTAATGGTGACAAGTAATATTTATAGAGTGATGTAAAAACAAATTTTAATTTTGTTGCTTTAACTATAGCAGTTACCATAGCTAGCAACATGTAAAATATTGCCAGTAGGTTCTGTCATATTTGTTTTTAATAAAAATATAAGACTCGAAAGCCAAGAATGGAATATTTATTGGCAGGTCCTTGTCTGTTCTGTGAGTGGCGAAGTGAAATCATGTTTTCAGTAACTGTAATTTTACAGGCGTATGGGTGAAGATAAAAAGGCTCCACCAGGCTACACAGTCTTAGTTTCTCTTAAATAAGAACACAGTAAATGGACTGCTGACTCTTACTCTGATTCATTTGAAAATAATATTTTAAAACTTTAAAAGTTGATAAAATACGGAACATTTTGGCACCTCAGTAGAAAATTGGAACAAAGTCATGGTTTCAAGGCTCTTCTCAGAGAAGTGACTCAGGTCCAGGAGGCCAGATATGAATGTCATTCAGGGGCGACCTTTGTAACAGGAAACTTAACAGCTATAAAAGAAAAAAATAGATGTGACAACAAACTACTTCGACTTCGTGGCATAAAATAACATTTAATATTACTGTCACTTCCTTTTTTCATAAATAAAACAAAAAATCTTTAGCTGAAAATATGTCCATATTATTTTAAAATAAAGTTTCATAGTTTTGTTTTTTCTCAAAAACAAATTCTGGAAGAAGTCATTTTTAAGAAATATATATATAATACCTTATTTTTTCAAGACAGTTTCATATGTATAATTTGATGTTTACAAATTATACAGATTCATAATTCTACATTTAACCATTGGAGAATAGAATTGAATTATATCTGAACACATGAAATTAAACAATAAATAACACTGATTGAGAGTTTACCTTAGAGCTTTGTAATTTTTAATTTTAGGATGTTCCATATTTCTGAAAGTTATGATTAGACAAACTGACACAAAGGAGATACCTTAAAATATCTTTCATATTTCAGTTATAGAAATATATATCTGTATGTATTTTTTTCCTGTAGTATGTTAGGAGAAAGGTAATTAGCTTAAAAGCAAATATAACACTCAAACATTTTTCTCTCCTCCCTTTATCAATACTAGTTTGAACTTCATAATACCTAGACTTGATCATTATAACAAATTAATACTGTTTGTATTAAATATTATACAAAGGTCTACCCTTTCAGCCTTTTCTTTTATTTCTTTGCGTCCTACTAGGTTTCCCAGACTTAAAAGCATTCTTTCCCTTTTTTACTTCAGCCATCTCCCTTAGAGATTCTTCTATCTTTAAATTTTTTCAGTGATTGGAACTGTGCCTGTGGCATAGAAAAAAACGTGACCAAATCGTCACTGAGTGAACCACATGATGTGATCAGAAAACAAAGTAACACTATGCCTTTCACACAAAAAAATGACATTATGCTAAACAAGTAGTTTATTGACTTTCATGTCAGTCTTAATTTTGAATCTAAGTGAAAGACATCAGGAAAATAAACACCAAAGCTGACAAAAGGAACTACCTGATTTCATCAATTACGACCTTTTCTCTCAGTTTTTTTCTGTTTTTTTTTTTTATTTTTGTATTTCACTTTTAAGACATAACTATCTCCTGGGTTCAAATGTGTCTATTTTTAAAACATGGTTCTCAGGCTTGCAATGCATCAGATTATAGCTTTTATTATAATGTTCTAGATAATCAAAATGTAAATATTTAAAATGTTTTATAATTATAATTGACCTTTTATATGAAATACTAATGCTATATATTTCTTATAATTTTCAAGTTATATAGATTCCTTGCTGTTCCTTATTTGTGCTTATCAGAGTAACAAAGAACTCTTGTCCAAAGGCCCATACAGAGGACATGATGAAGAGTTGATATCACATTATAGAAGAGAATGTTTACTAGTAAGTTGAATGCATGTAGTATTTGTTTTTTTAATTTAATCTTTATTGTATTTTTCCCATTACCATTTAGTCCTCTTATATCCCTTTCCCCTCAGCAATCACCACACTGTTGTCCATGTCCATGAGCCCTTTTCCTTTTTGTTTGATCCCTTTACCCCCTATCATCCCCCCCCCACCCCCCACTAGCTGTCACCTGCTCTCTATCTGTGAGTCTGTCTCTGTTTTGCATGTTGGTTCAGTTTGGTCATTAGATTCCACATATGAGTGAAATCATGGTATCTGTCTTTCTCTGACTGGCTTATTTGTTTACTTCATCTTTTTGTCTTACATTGAGCAAAGTACCCAGACCAATAGATGAGTGATTGACTCCATAAACTCTGATGGGTTAAGAATCACAATGATGTCTATAATCTCGGTCTAGTCCCTTAAAATGAGAGAATAGACTAAGTTCTTTATCTCATCTTCTTTATGGAAGCTAAGTATTAATATGATAAACAATAAATGTTCTTAAAATGAGATCAGAATGATTACATGTTTATATCTAGATTTCATCACTCTGCTACTCCCTTTTCATGGGAAAGGAAAGGCTACATAGAGCATGAGGAATTACTATGATCCCAGGAAAATAACGAGCGTCGTTCTGAGCTGCACAACCAGTAGTGGATTGGGTGTGCCTAGCTCAGAAGGTCATTGTGGTCACTGTAGTGCATAGGGACACACTGCATTTTTTAACTTAGTCATTAGTTTTTTCCTCAAGTATTTTTTACTATCTTTGTGCTGAAATGTTGTTATTATAAACTGTTAAAAATCTTTGTAGCCTTTTTTTTTTTTTTTAGTACCAGAAATGCACTGTATTGGATGAGTGGAAAGGAAAATGTAGAGTTGTCAAAGCTGCCTGACTTGCATTTGTTTCAGCATTTTCTGTACCCTCGTCTTCATGCCTGTTGTACTTTTGCCACAGTTGAGGTCCTTACCCTCTTGACATCAATCAAGAGGGCTACTTCCCAGTCTATCCTCTAGTATATAATACTGCCAGGATTTTCTGAAAACAAACCTGATCATGCCAAACTTAATGTTAAATCTTCAAATAATAATGACATGTCTTAGAATGCATAGAACAATGAGGGGAAGGCAGGACAACTGTAACTGAACAACAATAAAAAAAGAATGCATATTATAAAAAGTATGGTATTGTAGATACTTCAAGATTTACCTTATTTAATCCTCTTAACCACTATGTAAGGAAGGTAATAGTATCATTTTTCAAAGAGGAAAACTGAAGCTCAGAGATTACTTATTTGCTCAAGATTAGATAATTAGTCAGTGGCTTTGTTAGATTTTTAACATAAGCCTTTCTCCTAATGAAAGATAAATTGCACAAGAATGATATAATCATACAAATAATATAATTTTTATATTTTAAAATTCAGCTTAAAACTGATTTTAAAAATCGTATTTATCATGCTATAAACATAAGAATTCAAACCTAAATCCTTAAATATTATAGCTCTTTCCGTATTCCTTAGCTTTCTCTTATGCCTCTATTTCTTATCTTAAGAATTTCTCTGTTCTAGATTAGGAGGTCAGCATATTTGGCCTGCACTCCAGCCCATCACTTGTTTTTTGTAAATAAAGTTTTATTAAAACACAGCTATGCTCTGAATGATCTGGAGAATATCATGCTAAGTGAAATGAGCCAGTCAGTGAAAGATAAATACCACATGATCTCACATATATATGGAATCTAATGAATGAAGTAAACTGATGAGAATAAAATAGAAACAGAAGTATGGATACATGGAACAGGATGATGTCTGCTAGAAGGGGTGCGGGACTGGATGAAAGATAGTGAAGGGACTAGTCAAAGAATATTTATGTATGACCCGTATCACCCCTGAACACAGACACTGCTGTGGGAAATGAGTGAAGGAGGCCTGGGGCTGGGTAGAGATGGGCAGAGGGAGAGAAAACAAAACCCGGACGATCGTAATAGCATAAACAATAAAAAATGCTCATTTATATATTATATATGGCTGCCTTTGTGGAACAATGGCAGGGTTGAGTAATTGCAACAGAAACAATATGGCCCTCAAAGCCTAAAATACTTCCTTTCCTGTCCTTTACAGAAAAAGCCCACTGGCCCCTATACCAAATTGTAAGCTCATGAAAGTTTTCTGTACTGATCACTTGAGTACACCTGCATCTGTAGAAACTGCATCTAGAACAGTTTCTAGCACATGGCATGAACTCAGTAAGAATTTTTTTCAGGGATAAATGAATTAATTGTTTACCATTTTATCTTTGTACTAAGGAATATAGCCCTTCTTATTCAGTTGACAATTATGGAGACAATGAAGGATTTTTTTTTTAATTAATATGAAGTTTGAATTTCTTTATTTTTAAAATTATTTTCAGTGCTTATTAAATTTTAGAATTGGGGGAAGTTCATCTCTGGAAAATAAATAAAAATTGGCCCCTGTAGTGATGATCACTATAAGCTGAACATGAAGTTTAAAAACATGACAACAACCCTGGCTGGCATAGCTCAGTGGATTGAACGCGGGCTGGGAACCAAAGTGTCCCAGGTTCGATTCCCAGCCAGGGTACCTACCTGGGTTGCAGGCCATAACCCCCAGCAACCGCATATTGATGTTTCTCTCTATCTCCCTCCCTTCCCTCTCTAAAAATAAATAAATAAAATCTAAAAAAAAAATTTAAAAAAAAACATGACAACAATATTTTCCCCTTTCCCCACTTCTTTTTTCCCTTATTTCTGTTGTAACACACATAGCTTATTCCAAGAGATTTTCCTGCTAGCTAGAACAGGCTGAGATTGGTTTTCTTGATTGCCATTTGTTCTAATACTGCTTGTGGACGTATTTATTATGTCATCTTCAGTATTTACAGTTACAGGTATTTTTATTTCATTTAAAGAAAGAAACAAACCTGTTGTTGTTTTTTTTCCTCATTGTATTAAGAAATTAAATGAGCAAGCAGCAGAACTGTTTGAATCTGGAGAGGACTGCGAAGTAAACAATGGTCTGATGATTATGAATGAGTTTATTGTCCCATTTTTGCCCTTGTTATTGGTGGATGAAATGGAAGAGAAAGATATACTTGCTGTGGAAGATATGAGAAATCGATGGTGTTCTTACCTTGGACAAGAAATGGAATGTAAGTTTAAACAATGGTAGTGGGCATCTGAGTTGCTTGGAATTGAAAGCAGTTAGAACTAATTGTTATATTCATTTGTATCATTTTTATATTCAGTAATATTCACATTATTCCTTTTTTCTTATTTACAAATTAAGCTATGAATTCTACCATTGCCATTTATCTTTTATCTCTTCCCTCAAAATGGTAACTGTTTTATCTGTTTTAAAATGAATCTTCGCCTGGCCACTTCAAGTTTTATAAAGCTTGTTGAAGATGATAATTTTTTCTAACTGGCTCTCTATCCTTAGTGACCTCTGTTTGTATTTCGCAGCAAGCCTCCAAGAGAAGCTGACGGATTTCCTGCCAAAACTGCTTGATTGTTCTACAGAGATTAAAGGTTTCCAGGAGCCACCGAAGATACCTCCCTATTCCACGCACGAACTGTGTGAGCGATTTGCCCAAATCATGTTGTCCCTCAGTCGAACTCCTGCTGATGGAAGATGAACAGCACATTCTTCCCTAAACACACTGTATAAACTTTTTTTTTAGTTTTAACCCTTGCCTTCCTGTCACAGGAATTGCTTGTTGCTGCTATCATTTTTAACATTTTTTTTTATTTTATTTTAATGACTGCAAAATACAAAATAACTATAAGATTTTAGCTGGACTGCAAACAATAAACCTGAGAATCGCATGGCGCTCGGACTGTGTTTTAACCAGCACTCATGTCTAATCACAAATCTGAGTGATTTCATTGTGGCGAAACCATGTTCTTGCCACTTTTATGTTTCAGTATTACCTGCTTTTATCTTTATCTACAGCTTTCATTTAGTCTGGATCCTTCCATGACTACAGCCATTTAAGTGTTCAGCACTGTGTACGATACGTCATATTTGGTAGCTTGTAAATGGAATTAAAGAATAAAGTTTTATTTATGGCTACCTATTTGTTTGTTAGCAGGTATATTGTATATCAGTGTATTATTTTAGTTATAATATATACATGAATTTGGGGGACTAAGATTAGGTGATTAATACAAACTTTTGATTTTGCTCTAATGTTAGCACATTGGATATTTACTAAATATTTGACACTTAAATATATATATTTTTGACTAAGTTGTTAAACTTAATATGGCACCTAAACCTGTTTTGAATTCAAATCAGGGTTTCACTAAAGTGAGTGGCTAAGCCAATCACACTGAAACTTTTAACCTTTTCTTAGATTAAACTTTTATTTTCTTATGTATTTACAAATAACATAGCAAGGTGATTATTTCAAGAGGTACCAGAAAAAAATACTTGAATAAGGGCTATTTAATAGTGAAACTTGTAAGAAATATGTATATGTATATATTCACATGATACACACGTGTGCACACACACAGGTTCTTCACAATGGAGGGCAATGTTTTGCATTATACAACCATTCTATTTTTGTAAATTGTATGCCACTTTCATTGAAAATGTTCTCTATTAATCAGTGCTGTGAAATGAGGTTGATATTGTTTACCTAGAATTTATGAGTATCTTACCTGCTATTATTTACCTCCTTTTCAAAGAGGAAAAAGCTGTAGAACATTTTATAGATGGAACTTCTGTTTAAGATTGATGAAATAATATTGTGAATGAAAATCAATGCTTTAAAGGTAATCATATTACCAACAACCTATTTTTGAATTTATAAAAATTTCTTTATAAACAATACTTTGTTAGCATAGTAAAATATACTATCATTTTTGTGTATGTTTGTTATAGCGTCGCCAAAAGTGCTCTTTATAAGTGCCTCTCACGAAAGATCCTGGATAAAGGAGGAAAAAGAAACTATTAAATTGTTATATGATGCTCCTTGTAAAGGTATCAATGTACTGCTAAGGTATTAATGACAAGAATTTGATACTATTTCTGCTGTAAATATAAATTTTGCATATCATAGCTATCAAAGCGTGTTTTGGTTTAGATTTTATATTCTCTACTTGAGCAGAATTCATATTCTGCATTGGTTTTTAAGTTCTGTCAAAACTTTAGGAACTTTCTGTGTGTCATCAAAGCTTTTGTAAATCATCTTCGGTATTTGGTGACATTCAGCCATAATGGTAGGGTGGTTTGTGTGATGTGTGTAGCAGACAACTGAGACACAAAGCACTCACACTCCACGTGGAAATTACTCCTTTCACAGGCCACATCAGAGAATCGTATGTGGCTCTTGTGCTGAAGGTAAGTTTTATTATTATATTTACCTTGTCTTTAAAAGGCAGTTTATTTATTTCTAGTAATGAACTGGAAATTACAAAAGTAACCTTTTTCAAGACCTGGGGAAACCACTTGTTTTTATATCAGCTTTAATCTAGTTTTAAGGTTTAGGTCAATAAAATTTCCTTATATTATTTACTGGGCTAAATATAATTTACAAGCAGTAATTTAAACCTTGGAACCTCATAAAACTGCTGTCTGTGGCATATTTTACTTTAAGTGACTTATTTTGATTATTATAGTCTTCCCTCCCTGCCCCCTAAAAATTGTATTTTGAAATAATAGAAAGTGAAGTTCAAATAGAACTTAAGACTTGTAGGAACTTTTAAACACAGGGCTTAGAGAAACTGTAGCCATGAGTGAACCTTTGAGACCCCACTGATACTTTTCAGATTCATTAAAATACTGCAATGACCATACCCTGAATCAGTGATTCTCAAAATGCAGTCTCAGATCAGCAGCTTCAGCAACACCTGGGAACATGTCAGAACTGGAAATTCCCAACTCCCACACCAGACTGCTGATTCAGACACTCTTCAAGTGATCTGTGTTTTACGAAGTCCTTCCGGTGATTCAGATGTCCACTAAAGTTTGAGAACCACAGAACTAAATAAAACTATGGGAACACTTTCCGCATCTTACATTGATGCTATTTAATTTCCATTTACTTATGATCTATTGTTTGTTGGAAGATTTTCTTATTCTCCTCACTTGTAATTTCAAAGAAGTGATTACAAATTATTTTCCTTGGTTTAGATTTGAGACTAAAGTGGTTTCTCTCCCTTATCTGATTTCCCCAGGTCAGTGTCTTTGTTTTATGATTCAGAATTGTTGATTTCTGCCTCTTGGTCCTCCAGTCCTTTTCAAAAGTAGAGTCACTCTGATGCTTGGGAGAAGTGAGAAGGGCTACCCTTGTGTAAGCATTAAAAAAAAATACATACATATATGTATATTTTATATATATATATATATAATTAAGCTGATTAAATATCATTTGTGCCCACGATAACTTTATCCAAACTACATGTATTAGTTTGCTAGGGCTGCCTTAACAAAATATTATAGAGTGTCTTAAAAAACAAATTTGTTTTCTCATAGTTCTGGAGGCTGGAAGTCCCAGATTAAGGCGTTGACAGGTCCGGTTCTCTCCTGAGGCCTCTCCGTGGCCTGCAGACCGCCCTCTCACTTGGTCCTCACACAGCCTCTTCTCTGTGCGCACAAGCAGCCCTGGTGTCTCCTCCTCTTCTTATAATGATACTGGTAGTACTGGATTAGAGCCCACCCTGGTGACTTCATTTAACCCTGTTTACCTCCTTAAAAGTTGTCTCCAAAGACAGTCACACTGTGGGTGATGGCTTCAACATGAGAATTTGGTAGGCATCTAGGAGACACAGTTTTGTCCACAACAGTATGTGAAGGCCCAGTTCATGTATCTCCCTTTCACAAACAAAAATATGATTGTTAGCCCCTCTCCTTTAGCCTCAGGATTATAGTTCTGTTCTTATACCTGCTTTATTATTTTCTTTAACTTTTACTTTATGCTAAAAACTATATTAGAGTTATAGCATGTCCGTTAGACACTGCTCACAAATTGTTCATCTAATCAGTTCAGCGTGTTTTTTCGATCAAACCTTTGCCAGATGAATACAGTAGTCCATGTTGACTTGTCCTTGTTCAAGTGTCTATTTCATTAGTTTTACTCAACATTATATCATGGATCTGTTTCTACTTCGCTAGTGTTTTTATTCTTACCTACCCCACATCCCTTTTCCATTCTCCACCTCACCCCCAGCTGGGAGGCACTACTGTTAACCATCGTAGCCACGTACTGCTCCACGTTTGGGTAATGTTCCCCTATATATACAGTGAACAGACATAAGCAGTAGTGGGTTTTTTTTTAGAAGGGGGGATGGATTGGTAGGAGAGTTACTGCTTTTAGAAAAATGAGACACCATCTATTTTACATTTCCTTTCTCTTTGCCCCTCCTGTAGTTTCTAGCCTCTAGTACTTTTTCTAATTAGCTTTGATAGAGATGACTTATAATAAATTACTAATAAATAATACAACACTACTTAAAATCAAATAAGGCATGATTGACAGAACTATGTACACAATTGAATATACACATGCACATACACCAGAATCTCAGAAATCCTATTTCATCCATACATAGGTTTTCTCAATGACTATTTCGAACCTTCACTGCCATTCTTGACCTCCCGTTCAGTGTCAGCTCCAGTAAAAATAGGATGATCTCTTTGTTTTACTAAGAAAAGTGGGGACATTGGCTGGGATCCTCCCCTTCAACTTTTCTTTGTAACTGTAAATTTACAGGCAATTATTAGTTAACCAGGCTGTGGTAAGGAGATGGACTATTGAAAATCTAATGTTATGAGGAGAATATAAATAAAGTGTAATGTAAAATAAACTTAATTTAAATTACATCCTTTATTTTGGGACAGTTACTCTTCTACAAAATTAATTCAAAAAGTTCACTTTATTTATTTATTTTTTGCCTTGTACTAGCCTAAGGCCTGTACAGCATCAGTTTTTGCCTTTTAGTGAGTGATCCTCTCACTTTTCCAGTAATCTACAGCTAGGCTAGTATTCTTTTTTCTTATCGTTGTTCAAGACTTGAATTCTTAACCCTTGTTGTGCATCAAAAACATGTGCATTCCTATCATGTGGGTTCTTAAAAGACTTTAAAGTAGGGACATTTGGTGTTTCTCCAACATGATCCATGGCCCTACCCTGGGAGACTAATTGAACCTAGCTAAGCACTCGGGTGGAGAAATTTGCTTTCCACATTAGTCTGTATCACATGAAAAGGCAGAGGGGTTACTGATTGGCCTTCAGCCATAGAGTGTCCTTATTTTGATATGTGCTTTTCTGTCTTTAATTGACTGGACCTGTCTCTGCTGAGTGGTTTAAGAGTGCAGGCTCTAGAACCGGAGTGCCTAGGTCCAGGATCTTGGTTCAGCGAGCTGCGTGTGGACCTTGAGCTCACCCTTCCCGTGCCTGTTTCTCCATCTATAAAATAAAATTACAGAATAACCCACCTCACAGGATTCTTAAAAGATTAAGTGGATTTCTATATATAAAACACTTAGATAATCTCTGCCACACAGTGTTCGGTAATTGTCAGCCCTTTTTATACTTGTCACTTTGTTACTCTTGCTCCTGATTTTTAAAATCCCTTCCTTCCTGAGACAGGCTTCTCTGAGCTACTATAATTCCTACCTGCACTCCTTGTCATTTTCTTTGTTCCCTAAATATCATGGCTGTCAAGGCCCCTTGTATCTGTTCGCCTTTCCTGGGCGGGCATGTCTGCTACCTTGTCTTCCTGCCCTGCCTACATGCTGATTGGCAAATCTGTGTTTCCAAGCAAACCTTCCCTGTGAAATCTAGGTCCATATGTATTTCCAGTTGTTTGTTCAACATAGAGACTGGAATGTTTCACAGGCACTTCAAACTTGCAGTCCAAACCTGAATCCATCATTTTTTCCCAAGCCTGATTCTCTTCTCTTGGTTATATAATAATCCAAAAGTGGGAAATTCTCAATTGTACTTTTATTTCCTATTGATTACCAAGTATCAACAGGTCAGTATTTTTTTTCTTTTAATCCTTGCCTGAGGACATGTTTCCATTGATTTTTAGAGAGAGAAAAATATCGATTGGTTGCTTCCCGTATATGTCCCATCCAGGGATTAGAGCTGCAACCTAGGCATATGCCCTGACCAGGGACTGAACCAGCCTTGTCCCATACCTTTCAATATATGGGCATGGCTCCAACCAACTGAGCCATGCAGCCAGGGCAACAGGTCAAATTTTTTAATGCTTGCTCATGCATCCCTTCAATTTCTACTGTCGATGAGGTCTTATCTTTAAACTTGGACAGTTGAATTTGGCCCCTAGTGACTTCTATTTGAGCTTGTTCATACAATCCATTTTCCACATGGTTGACAGAATTATCTTTCAAAGAGTTTGTATATGTCTGTCTTCCATTGCTGGACTGAACTTCTTTAGATGAAGACAGTATCTCTTGTTTTTGTAACCCCTAGTGCCTTTTAAAATATCTGGTAGCTTCATAGAGGTGAAATCTTGCAGGTCCTCCAGCCCTCCAGTTACCTTAGACCTGCATTGTCCATTGTGATGGCCACTGCCCACATGTAGCTGTTTGAGTTTAAACCAAATAAAATTACCTATTCATACTAGCCACACTTCAAATGCCCAGTAGCGATGTGACTGCTGGCTATCATATGGGACAATGTATTTTAGAATATTTCCATTATTGCCGAAAGTTCTGTTGGACAGAGATGCCCAGCCTCTTACTAACAGGAACGTTTTCCTCTGCTGATACCCGGGAACATTCACACACAGCCTCCGGAGTGCTGACCTGAGCAAGCTGGCCTGCAGCATTTGTGTCTCTATCTTGACCCTGTCGTGCACCATTTCACTTCATCAGATAGCACCTCCAGCAGCAGGTATCCAATCCGGGAAGTGTGCACTGGGTATTTCAACCAAGGAGAAGTGGTAGAGGCTTTAGAAGGTAACCCAGAGATTCTGACTGCAGATGCAGCCACTCCTAGGGAGAAACAAAAGGTAACATAAGTTGGGGTTACCAGCAACTTGGAGCTCCAAGTCCCCAGTGAGTTGTTGCTCAGTCTGAGGAAGTGCACCACCTAACTT